GACGACACACACACACACACACACACACACACACACACACACACACATACAATTAGCAACCGATCCAATCCCCTTCGACCCTTTGCTTCCTACTAGCACGCGTCGCGCGGCCCGTCGTCCTGGCGTCTGGCCCTGCCATGCTTCGTTCCCACCTTTTCGCTGCACACCGTAATGCCCAGACATTGGCGCCCCGCAGTGCTAGGAAAGGGGGCTGGAACCTGATGTACCGTCGTGAAGGCTGAGGGAGAGAGAGCCTGCCGCGGGCCACGATATCAGCACACACACACACACCCATTGCCCTTTCTCCACCCGGCGGCACCCTGTAGACTTGGGGCTGGAAGAGAGGGGGCGGTGGTGCCCGTCCTGCTCGTCGGACCCAGCTGGTCCCTACTGGGACCGAGGACGAGGTGCGTCTGGGCTGCGGCGGCATATAATTAGGCTCTGATATTGCGACAAGGCGCTGCCGTGGTAACGCGAGATTGTGTGCCACCGCTGGGAGGAAGTTGTTGAGGAGGTGTGGCGGCACTTGTCCCGGCTACGTTGGGTGTCAGCCTCCCCGCCAATGACAACAGATCTTGCCGGCCTGGAAACCTGGAACTTGGCCCTCACGGCGGGGTCAAGGACGGCCGGAACTGGGCGGCCTGGTGACCTGGAATCGTTTGAGGTCAAGGACGACAAGCGACTGGAGGGTCTATTCTGTGAGAGGTCCTAGAGCAGACTTTAGTGTGGTACTCTCTTTGCCACCGCAAGTGGGCAGTTGGTCATGACTTTGCGAGTGAGTCCACGTATGTACACGCCACCCCTGAGGGGGGTTTTGTTTTTGCCTGTGGCCATCGTGAGCTTCGATGTCCAGGCCTCCGGATGTGCAGACAGTGCCTGGTCGTTCCTTTCGCTTCTCGGCGGCTTCCCGTATCCAGTTCCCACCTGTAGAAGGTTTTTTTTTTTGGCACTCTGCCGGGACTGCCTGAGGCATCCTTGCGTGTCTCGTATCTGCTTCCTTTCGAAGAAGCTTTCGCCTCGCGGGCTGGGGCGCCTGGGGCATGAAGGACAGAGAAAAGGTAATGGGTTGCCATATCGGGACAAGGCTGCAGGTTTCTCAAAGTTAAACGGCGTGATCTCGGCCGAGTAAGCAAAAAAAGAAAACAATTGCACACACAGCCTCAAGCCCAGGCGGCGGGAGGCGGCCGGATGGACGGGTGTCAGGATGGTAATGTTAACCCAAACTATACCGTCGCCCTCGCGCAGATGGCAAAGGGGCTCTGGACATGATCTCCAGATGCGGAGCCTCCCACTCTCGAAGCTAGATTTCGGTCGTCGGCCAGGCAACAGCCTTATTATGCAAGGAAAGCAAAATAAGATACGAGGGGAAAAGAGACTCGCGGTCTAGGCTCGGACTCTTGCGTCTAGATAACTCAATTGGCGGCGGTGGCGGCTGGACCCCTAGGGACCACGTCAAGGCTGTTGGGGCGGAGCAAGCAACGGGCACGCTTGTGGCAAAAACGGGCACTGACGGCAAAGGATTGGAGCAGGCCAAGGTTGAGAGAAAAGAAAAAGAAAAAAGAAAACAAAACCAATACGCTTTGTGTTGCGGCTCCTGGAGGGGACGGAGAAGGCCGTTCGTCGGACGCCAGTATAGGGGGTAGAAGTCACACACCGTACTCTTGGGGCCAGGCTCATGTATGGATGTCGTGTCTTGGTTCATGGCGTAATGGGTTGTGTCCAGGAGCGCCCGTGAGAGGAAGCCAAGGGGTGTGAGTATAGAAGTGGGCAAAAGGGGTGTTGTTTGGAGTATACTGTATACCAGACGGAGGCACTTTTGTCTACTGTGGCCTGGGAAGCACGTGCAAGGGATGGCGACGCTGTCGACGAGATGCACGATAGTATCGCTCAGAAGTCGGTTTGATCTGGTGAGAGGGACAAAGCGGCACGCGGTTTTTTTTTTTTTGAAAATTAACTAAAAGGGGTATCATTACTATCGAAACTCATCACGTAACTAATGCGCCAGAGAAAGGAAGATGCCAGAAAAAGAAGACGCCAGAGAAATGAAGTTGTCAGAGAAAGGGAGAGGCCAGCAACCAAGCTCAACGCTTCGCAATGTCATGGTTGCTGCTCCTGACCGGCATGCCCTGGTCCACCTTGGTAGTGGTCACGATGACCTCCATAGTGCGCGTGATGCCCGACTTTGTAGACAGCTGCCGCCGGAGCGCCCCGCCGTCGACGGCGGGGCCGTAGCACTCGAGCCCGCGCTCCTGGTCCTCGTCCCTGTCAGGTCCGCGCCCGACGGTAGACGTGTTGCCGACGCCGCCCAGCACCAGCTCGCGACTCTCGGTCGTGCCGCCGCCGCCGCCCAGGTCGGCCAGCTCGGCGCCGACGTCGCGGTCGTAGAAGAAGCGCCCCACGGAGCCCCGCTTCATCGCCCAGTCTGTCTTGCCGGAGCCGTCCATGGTCGCGCTGCCGCCGCCGCCGCTGCCGTCGTCGTTCTTGCCCAGCGACCCGGTGTCCTCGTCACCGCGGCGTGCTGAGCCGCCGCCGCCGCCCCACAGGCTCCAGAGGGTCGGGGCGTTGACGACGACGGCGGCGGCCAGCAGTTCGGCGCTAGTCCAGGCGACGGTGGCGGCGAGCAGCGGCGGCGGCAGGAGGTACACGAGTGGGACGAGGGTCGCAAAGACGCCAAGAGCAAAAAGCGCGGCCAGGCGGGCGCGGCGGCGCCACGAGGTGCGCATCGCCGTCGACGTCGACGACGACAGGACAACGGGCAGCGGCAGGGCCAGCAGCATGGCGTTTGTGGCGGCGTCGTTGACGGCCGCGACGAAGAGCTGCACGGGACCGCGCGCACACTCGCTGCTGCCACCGGGACCATCCGACACCGCCGCCGCCGCCTGCCAGTACAGGCGCAGCGGGCGGCACTCGCTCAGGGTTGTGGCCTGCACCGAGGCGTAGGTGGCGAGCAGGACAGCGAGGTAGGTCCAGGTGCACATGCGCTCGTACCAGAGGTTCTTGATCAGGCGGCGGTAGAAGTCGAGGAGGACGAGCTTTTGCAGCCAAAGACTTTTTCGGTTTTTGGTTGCGTGTTAGTAAACTAAATAACCAGGACCTCCCCCCCCTTGGTTTCCCCCTGTTGCGGCACTCACAAAGAGTTGAAAATCATCCTGTTCGCCAGCACCAGCTGACCCCCGATCTCGCGCCGGCGGACCTCGTCGGCGTCAAGGACCTGGCCCTTGTGAGGCGCGCCCGAGGCGTCGGCGGTGCCCCAGATGAGCACGACGTGGATGGTTGCCATGCGCGCGAGCACGCAGACGGCGGCCGCGATACTGAGATAGTCACCCGCCTTGTACCTCTGCCTAGCCAGCCGGCGCCACAGCAGGCGCGCGAAGATGATGAGCAGGGCCAGGCCGCTGAAAGACCAGTGAATGGTCAGCGTGATGTAGTCCATGGCGGCGGCGGCGGTTGGTTACGGGCACTGCTGGCCCCCTGCCCTGTTTCGTCCAGCCGTGTCGATTGTCGTTGATCGTCGTTGATCGTCGTTGATCGTCAGTGGGAAGGCGTCGTCGTTATGCCCCGCACTCGTCGATGATATCTCTATCTATCGATAGGGCGGTCTCGCTTGGTAGCGCTCTTGACGGTGGAGCGGACAACGGCGCTGGTAGAGTAGCATGCCGGCGGATGGAGATATATATCACATATAAGAGCAGCATGCCGAGCGTGCAACGTGGTTCGGAACTTTCTCCCTCGTTCTTATCGGAGTGGGGAGGCTGTGTGAAAGTTTGTCCCAGAGTTTGATCCAACATGGTCCTCCAAACCAGGAACAAGGATACCGGGTCTTTTCTCCGCACAAAAGCGTTCAGGACCAGGTTTTGGACTACTGCACCGCGAGTCAACGTACCCGCACTAGTTCCCATCCCGCCCACGTTGGACGGCCTTCTTCGAATGTTCCTTGCCCCTGGCTTATTACCAGAAATGGCAATGTTGGGCTAATCTTGGATCCCATCTCTCGAACCTTGGCTCTAGCTCGCCCTTTGTCTGGCCAGGCGCGACATGCAAACCCCACCGTGAGATTCGCCCGTGGGGGAAGGGGACGACATGTCCCACCCCTTGCGTCCACCCCGCGGCGCCGGATATTGCGTCGCACACCGCGCTGTTGGCTGCAACGTGGAATTAAACTGGAATCATGAACGTTGTCGGGGGACGAACTTTTTTCTCCCGCTGGCGCGCGTCGCTGCCATGGTCACATGACCGTGCTGTCGGCCTCGCTACATCCTGCCGACTCCTGTCGCGCTTTGTTTCTGACGTCGTTTGTTCTCGACGCCCGACTCGTCCAGCTCCGGGCCGCGCGCTTGTTTCGAACAGGCATCCTGGCTTGTTTGTTGTTTGTGCAATTGTACAGTAGTACCGTCTGCGAGGGAAACAAAGGATAAAAACCCACCCAGTAACAAGGGGGTAACAGGGGTTTGAAACTGGAGATCGCAGGGGTTTTGGTGACTTGCGGGGATGTCACGAGACTTCGAGAATTTCTCATCCTTTGAAAGCTTTTCTCGATTTCTCTCCTTCTTTTACCAGTGACTTTATGCCAGCACGTGACCCCCCTTTCGCCACCCTTGTGATCTCCAGTCTTAACCCCCCTATTGCTGGGTGGGTTTTTATCCTTTTTTTTTCCCTCGCAGATGGTAGCCTGGGGTGATTAAAGGCTGTCAGTGCCGCGCTGCCGCCCTTGCCCTGGTCCTAGCAATACTTTCCGCTCGAGCTGTTTCAGATTTTGCCATCGTCTGTCTGCCCCGAGCCTGCTCTTGCTCGAGCTCAGCCTTCACTCGCGTCGCGGTAGGTGGTCCGAAGATAGCCCGAGCCCGACCAACAGCCATGATGCGCCTCCTCGCGCTCGCCACCGCCACCGTCCTGTCCCTCACCGTTGCAGCCTCGGATGGCGAGGAGCCGTACATCCGCACCTTTTTCTACGCCGGGGGCGAGTACGTGGACGATGGCAGCGGCGGCAACGTTTTCCGCGGCCAGATGTACGTCGAGAAGCTCGTCCCCGCCGGCGGCGTGATACAGACCAGGCCCGTCGTCCTGATCCACGGGCAGGCACAGACTGGCTCCGTAAGCCCACCCACCCCGTTCATCTCGCACTAGCCGCGACTATATTGCCCCGGGAAACTACGCGCTCGTGCCTCGCGTGACTTCACATCTGCCAAAAACCTGACTCTTCTTTTTTTTTTTTCGTTTTCCGCCAGAACTTCCTCAACAAGCCCGACGGCGGGCGCGGATGGGCGTCCCAGTTCGTCCGCCAGGGCTACGAGGTCTACGTCGTCGACCAGACGCTCCGGGCGCGGTCGGCCTGGCAGCCGGGCTACGGCGCGGCGTCCCCGTCGACGTATCCGGCCGAGATGCTGCAGCGACGCTTCACGGCGCCGGCGCGGTACGGCCTCTGGCCGCAGTCGGCCAACCACACTCAGTGGCCCGGGGCCGGCGTCATGGGCGACCCGGTATTCGACGCCTTCTACGCGTCAAACGTGCAGTTCGTCGCCAACGCCACGCTGCAGCAGTCCACCATGGCGGCCGCCGGCGCGGCGCTGCTCGACCGCGTCGGCCGCCCGGCCGTGCTCGTCGGCCACAGCCAGGGCGGCGCGCTGCCGCTGCTGCTAGCCGACGCGCGCCCGTCCCTGGCCGCGGGCCTGGTGCTGCTGGAACCGGCCGGTCCGCCCTTTCGCGAGGCCGTGTTTGGCGACCGCCCGGCACGCCCGTACGGCGTGGCCGACGTCCCGCTCGCCTACGACCCGCCCGTGTCCGACCCGGCGGTAGATCTGGTGCGGGAGGAGCGACCAGCGCGCGACGGGGACGGCGCGTCGTCGGTCCGGTGCGTCCTGCAGGCCGAACACGACCCCGCGCCGCGCCGCCTGGCGAACCTGGCCGACAAGGGCATCCTGATCGTGACGGGCGAGGCGTCGTACCACATGCAGTACGACTACTGCACCGCCGCATTCTTGAGACAGGCGGGCTGCGGCAGGACGGAGCACGTCGAGCTCGGCGAGAGGGGGATCCACGGCAACGGGCACATGTTCTTTATGGAGCGCAACAGCGACCAGATCCAGGCTCTGGTGCACGACTGGATCCAGCGCCTGGGCTAGGCGGAGGGAGCATCGCTCGGGGTGGATTTCTCTGGTTATTAGTAACGTAATCTAATGGAACGCGCTGCCCGGGCATGCCAATGCCAGCGTGTGAGGCCAGAGGTGGGATAATGAGCCAAACCGTGGTGCCAAATTCTACGAAGCCCAAGGATTCAAGGAGGATGTTAATGTTGGTGGTGACCCAATCTCATTTACAATCCCATGCTGCCCATTTTGGGCCCACATCTGCTGTGACGGCAGCGGGATATGAACCATGTCCGCGGAACCAAATACTTGTAGCCATGGTATAACGATATTGGAAGAACAGATCCACTAGCGTTAGATATAATCGGATACGAGGGACGGGACACTCACGTTTCGCAGAGGTCGGAAGCAGAATGGAAAAGCTCATGTTGAAGATGGTAGAGAAAAGATTCCAAACGCCGCGCAATGTAAGAAAAAAAAGACCCAGCCCAAAAAGCAAACCCAAACGCCACCGCTGCCCACGCTATCCGATCCAGGATGAAAAAAAGCAACCATTGCCAAGCCGAAACGCCGACGCACAAGCGACGAAAGTTAAAAGAAGAGGCTGAAAGGACATGGGGGGAAAGCCCATAAGAAGACCGTGCAGACAACCTAGACGACGATGCCCCGGGCGACCCGCATGCGAGCGACCGACTCGTCGCGCTTATCGACCTCGCCCGCCACGGCCTGCTCCAGCACCGGGGCCATGACCTCGGCGAGGTCGGCGCTCGACAGGTGCGACGAAGTCGTCTGCTCCTCGGCGGCGGCGGCGGCGGCCTCGTCGTCGCGGCGGCCCAGCAGCGAAGGGTCGGCCTCGATCAGGCTGGCCAGCTCGGCGGCGAGAGCGGCGTCTGCGTCCGCGCCGTCGACGTCACGCTTGCCCTTGCCCCTGCCGGCGAAAAGGCCGCCCAGGAGGGTGGTGAGGATGGGGATGGCGGGCGCAATGCGGCGCTGAAGCGCGGCCTCGCCTTCGCCCTCGCCGGCGGTCAGGGCGGCGGCCAGTTCGGCGAAGGCGGCGTCGGCCTCAACGTCGACGTCGCGCTTGCCATTGCCCTTGCTGGCGAAAAGGCCGCCCAGGAGGGTGGTGAGGATGGGGATGGCGGGCGCGATGCGACGCTGCAGCGCGGCCTCGCCCTCACCCTCGCCGGCGGTCAGGGCGGCGGCTAGGTCGGCGAGGGCGGCGGCGTCCGGGGCCTCGAGGTCGCGCTTGGCCTGGCCTCGGAGCTTTTGGAGGAGGGAGAAGATGGGCAGGAAGCGGCGCTCCAGGTGGGCGTCGCCGGCGGCATCAGAGCCGTCGAGGTCCCGCTTAGCCTGGCCTCGGAGCTTGCTGAGGAGGGTGAAGATGGGCAGGAAGCGGCGCTCTAGGGGAGCGTCGGCCTCATCGTCCAGGGAGCGGCGCGCGTTCTTCTGGCCGCCGGACTGCAAGAAGCTGGGGATGGACGGGATCAGAGGGAGGATGTTGTTGATGGGGGAGCGGAAGAAGCGGCGCTCCAGCGAAGCGTCGGACTGGGCCTCGATCATGTCGGCCAGCTCGGCCAGCGCCGCCTCGGCGTCGGCCTGGTCGACGCCCTCGAGGTCGCGCTTGCGCTGGCCGCGGAACTTGTTGATTAGGGCAAAGATGGGCAGGAAGCGGCGCTCCAGGTGGGCGGCGTCGGAGCCAGCGCCGGCGGTGATTGCGGAAGCCAGCTCGGCGAGGACGGCCTCGGCATCGTTGGACCCGTCGAGGTCGCGCTTGCCATTCCCCTTGGCGGCGAAGAGCGCGGGGAGGATGGTGGTGAGGATGGGAATCACGGGAGCGATGCGGCGCTCCAGCTCGTGGTCGGCCGCGTCGAGGTCGAGGTCGCGCTTACCCCTGCCCTTGCCGGCCAGGAGCCCGCCGAAAATGGTGGTGAGGATGGGGATGACAGGAGCAATGCGGCGCTCCAGGTCCTGGCTCTGTTCCTGCACGGCGACTTCGGGGCCCTGGGCGGTCTCGACGGCGGGCTGCTCCAGGTTCGCCGCCAGGGTAGGCAGGGCAAAGGCCAGGAAGAAGGCACCGAAAGTCTGGCACTTCATTGTGTTAGTATGATGTGTGGACTTGTGGTGTTAGTGTTGGTCTGCGTGTTAGCTTGGCGGGAAGCGTTGATATTGGCGTTGGAGTTCAGGGGTTAATCGAAAAAGAACTGCCCGGATGATGTTGTCTGAAGCTGGTGGGTTGATATGTCGCCGATGGTGGTGCTGTCGAGGGTGGTTTGGAGACGGTGTTGTAGTCGTGGCGTGTGGTGGAAGGTGTTGTTGTGTTGGTGTTGGAGATGGTGTTGGAGATGATGGTGATGGTAACAAATTCGATCTGGACTCGACGGTCGATCGGCCCCGGTTGATATACATGTAACTCGCACAACCTACAGTAAGCTTTGGTGTACTGGTCCTCGCTGTGATGCTATCTATTCTGGTGTCTACCCTGGTTTTCATTCTGGTGCTTGAAGGCTGTACCAGGCATCCGCCTTCGGACTGCTCGGACTGAGGGCGCCACGCCAGGCAGCTCGGGCCCAATAGCACTGCTCAGTTGATGGTTTACAGACAGCCGCTGCACAATTACTAGCCAGAAATAAGGCACCCGTCAATCGCGCCCCAGGGGACATGCATTGTCGCACGTGTCGCACCTCGCGGAGCAGTGCAAGCACAGCTCGCAATTGAGGATGCGAGGGTGTTTATGGGAAATCTCACTGCCGAGAGCGTGGCTCTGCAGGCGGCGCAGGCACCATGGCATTTTGCCCAACCAAATGCGAAACCAATCCTTTGGACGCTCAGCTTACTGCCGACTATTATCTCTCTTTTCAGCGGGAAGTTATTTCCATAGCAGTACTTTTCAGGGGGAGACAGACACCCAGCCATGAGGACGGCGGTTGTTGATTGGCCAAGCCCGGAGCACGGGCTCACACTCACTCGCACCAAAAATTTCACAATGAGCATAAGCGCAGAATGCGAATCGACCCTTGACAAGATGCGAGTTCGGGCAGTGCAAACAGAAAAAGCACAAGGAAGATGAGGGAAACCGACTTTGACAAGAAATCGCAGGATTTTCTGGTGTGGTTCAAGAACCTGCCCGGCGCGACGTTCCATGACCATATCAGCATCGTAGACCTGCGCGCACGCAATGCCGGCCGTGGAATTGGTATTTAAATTTTAAACCTCGTTGCCAACGCCAAGACTCTCATCTCCGTTCGGCAGCTGACCAGAACTCACAGTCACTACCGCCGACATCGAACCGGACACGGTCCTGTTCACCATCCCGCGCCAGCACATCATCTACCCGGCAAACTCGGAGCTCGCTCGGAAGCTCCCGGCCGTCTTCGCCGGCGTCGGCGGCTCCGGCCCCACGCCCGACGTCGACGACGACGATGGCCGGGCCCAGGATTCGTGGACGAGCCTCATCCTCGTCATGATCCACGAGCACCTGCGAGGCTCCGCCTCGCCCTGGCGCCCCTACCTGGACGTGCTGCCGGCCCGCTTCGAGACACCCATGTTCTGGTCCGCCGCCGAGCTGGCCGAGCTGCAGGCCAGCCCCGTCGTCGCCAGCGTCGGCCGCGCCGAGGGCGACGCCATGATCCGCTCCCGCATCCTGCCCGTCATCCGCGAGAACGAGGCGCTGTTCTTTGGCGCCGGCGGCGCTGCCATGGGCGACGAGGAGCTCGTGGAGCTCGCCCACCGCATGGGCAGCACCATCATGGCGTACGCCTTTGATCTGGAGCGGGACGACGACGCCATGGACGAGGATGACGCCGAAGGTGATGGGTGGGTTGAGGACAGGGATGGCAGGACTGTCATGGGTATGGTGCCCATGGCGGACATTCTTAACGCCGATGCAGAGTTTAATGTTTGTCCCTGCCCCTTTTCCTGTCGAGTCTTCACGTCGCGGCTTGACTTGTCCTTCTCTAACTCGGCAGCCAACCCCGCGAGGCAGGCCCATATCAACCATTCCGAAGAGGCTCTAGTCGCCATATCTCTGAGAAAAATCCCGGCGGGCGAGGAGATTCTCAACTATTACGGCCCTCTGCCCAATGGCCAGCTCTGCCGGCGCTACGGCTACACCACGTCCAAGCACAGCAGGTACGACGTGGCCGAGGTGGCGTGGGAGCCCATCCTGGACGGCGTGCTGTCGCGCGTCAAGATGACGCGCGACGAGTGGAGGAAGCTCGAGGCCCACCCCAAGGCGGGAGAGGCCGGCTCGGACGACGACGGCGACAACAGCGAAGGCGACGGGGACACCTACGTGCTCGAGAGGGACTGTGAAGACCCGGACGAGCTCGGGCAGCTCCAGGGCAGCCCCAGGTTCGCGCAGCTGCCGGACGAGCTGACGGAGCGGCTCAAGGCGGTGCTCAAGGCCGCCAAGAAGGCGCGCCCCGAGGCCGTGCCCGACAAGAAGGCCAGGGACGACCTAATGCTCGGCGCGGTCCGGGACGCCATCGACGCCAAGCTGAGGGAGTACGGCACCAGCCTAGAAGAGGACGCGGCGACGCTGGCCGGCCTCGGCGGGGGCGCATCCGCGCGGGTCAGGATGGCCCTCGAGGTCCGCATCGGCGAGAAGAGGCTGCTGCGGGAGGCGAGGGCTTGGTTGGACAGGAAGCTAGGTGGCGACGGGCAGGGCGAGAGGATGGAGCTGGATGCGCCTTCGGCGAAGAGGCAGCGGCGGGCCTGATGGGGCCAAGGCCAGGACAAGGAATGCGCGGCGCTGCAGGGGATACGGGCTGTAGAAGGCCAAGGATTAAAAAAAAGGACTAAGCTGTCTGCCAATGAGTGTGCGGAAAAAAGAAAAAAAAAGGGTCATGCCATGATCGACCTCTGCCATCCTCCTGATTCTCAACTTCATCCCCGAGCTGTACACCCGTTTACATTATCTCACCATTACAATCTGTCCTGCACCGACTCTTCGTTCCGCCTTCACAAATCCCAACCAACCAATATCACCATATCATATTTTCCACTCCCCCCAAATCACGCCGACGCCGCCTCGGTGGCCAGGCCGACGACGACGCAGCCCGCCCGAACAGATGTGGGAGGCAGCACCGCGGGCGTGAGGGCCAGGTACCACGCGCCAGCGCCGTCCCTGCAGCCGCGCAGGACCGTGTACGTCGCGTCCACGCGGCCGGCGCCGCCCAAGTTGGCGGGCACGAGGACCCCGGCGGGCGCGGCGAACCGGGGCGACAGGCACGTGCGGGCGGCCACGCAGGCGTCGCGGGCCGTGCGCGCGACGCACCTGACCGGGAACCCGAACTCGGGCGCGTCGTTCTCGAGGCCGAGGATGCACGGCATCGCGTCGCCGCCGCCGGAGGTCAGGAGCAGCAGCGAGCCGTCGGCGGCGTCAAGCGAAAATGCGGCGGCCTCGGCGCGGCCGCCCGTGCCGAACAGGAGGCTGCGCGTGGCGGGCTTGAGGTAGCGGCCCGAGGTGGAGGGGTCGGTGCCGGTGCCGCGGAGGACGAAGGTGGCGGGCGCTGCGGGCGCGACGGTCGCGACGACGCGGACGGTGGTGGTGGAGGGGGGGTTGGCGATGGAGGTGGTCGTGGTCGTGCGCATGGTCTGCGGGAGAGGGTTGGGGGTTTACGGGTTAGCGTCTTTGCTGTACCATTACGGCGTGTCATAAGGGAAAAGGAAAAGACCAGAAGGACTCAGGATCCAAACCTCAACAACGTCGACAGACGCCGTCACGGCGACGGTGGCGACGGCCACGACGGTCACGGCCGGGGCGGTGAAGATGACGCGCTCCGTGGCCCTGGGCAGGTCCATGCACGAGCACGCGCTGGCCAGCCGGTCCGTCGGGTACTGCCTGAGGAAGTCGGGGACGGGCACGTCGGTGCGCCGGGCGAGGGCGCGCGTCGTGGTCGACGTGACGAGCACGGTGGCCGTCGTGTCGACGCGCACGGTCAAAACGTCGGTGGCCGTCTCGACGCGAGTGTACGTGGCCGTCTCGTCGCTCGTGACGGTCGAGGCCACGCGGCTGCGGGAAGCGGGGGGAGGCCTCGTTAGCTGACGGTCGGGGGGTACATGTGTTGTATGTGTAAAACTGGGAAGGTAGCGGAAGGGGAAGGATAGGGGAAGGGGGGAACGTACATGGTGGGGACCACGGTCCCGACGATGACGGTCTCGACGGCCGCCACGCCCATGTAGGCCCTGCAGAACGAGGCCGCCGTGGCCGACTTGGCAGCGTTGCGCATGGCCCGGAGGCAGTTGTCGGCGCTGCAGCCCGCGGGCAGGGCCTGCGGCGCTGGGACGGGGTTGGGAGCCGCGGCCGCGAGGCCGGAGAGGCCGCCCAGGACTGCGGCCGAGATCAGGCTGGAGAGCATGGTTACGGCGGTGGGTATATGGGCAAAGAAGGAGCTGGGGCGGCTCGATATCAGGGGGCTCTGCGAGAGAGGGAGGACGGATGTCTGAAGTCGGGGAGCGATGAGTCGGAGCGAGGTGAGGATGGAGACTGGGCCAAAGAAAGCAGAAGCTCAACTTGAGGGTTCCAGGGTCTTATATAGTCAAAAGTGCCGTGCTGCATCGAGTGGTACTGCCTTCGTTCATCTTGGTAAACCTGGTCCGGCCATCTCCCTCAGCCCTTAGGCAGGCCGAGATTGTAGCGCAAGGAAGCAAAGACCCGATAGTTAGCGCGCGGAGCTTCAGCAACCGACGAGGGCATGCGCAAAGAAGCAATTCAGATTTGGTGGCCTCGTCGCCGTATTGGCGGGGCTGGAAATCCAATATTGGGCGCCGCATGTCCTCCGGTGGCAGGCAGATGAAAGCTGAAGGACACGGGCATCACAGATGCTGAGATGGGAAACGATATGCAACCTGGTGGGAAAAAGTTGGTGATAAGCGCTGAAAGCTGAGTCTCCTTTTCAGAAGATTGACATGAGGAAACCCTCCCCGGCACCAAGTGCCACGACGGGGAAGATGTCAGTTGTGAGAGTTGATGTCGAACAGGGGCCCGTGCGATGAACGTCGCCAAGGTATACTCACAGCTGAACCGACGGAGCAGGGGTGACTTGGCCCTACCCTCTGCATATTGCCGATCCGGTCGCCGAGATGCCGGGCATGCTCCCAGTAGAGATATTGCCGGAGCTGAGAGACGGGGAATCGAGGAGAGAAGCGTGGACAGGACAAACCCTACCCAGACTCCAACCACGGCCTCCCCAGAGGCCGTGGATGGTTGGGCTAGTCGCTGTAGCCTTTGCCCGACCGCCCGCGCCCCCCGGGTCCGAGAGGACCAGCACCACTGGAGCCTAGAAAGGGAGAGGGCGCTCTCTGTGGCTTGCCTGGGTTGGCGGCAGAGTACCCCCGCTGTGAGGATTTGCCGATGAGATGATCCATCAAGTAAACCGAGAGTTCGGGCAACGGTCTGTGGCTGGAGGAGGAGCTACAGTCACAAAGGCAAACATAGCCGCAAATTTGCCTCTGGTTCCGCGTTCGGTCATCACGGCTTCGGCACCAGCAATCCATCGACCCGTGGGCGTGGTTCAACACCTCGTGTTTCTACCCAAACCCCAGCGATGATTGTTAGCCCCGTGTAACAGCCTGTTGATCCGCAAAGGCCGGCAAATTGTCCCGTCCAATGCCGCAGGGCAAGACTGCCCCCTCACCCCATCTGCCCAGTATATGTCTACAGCGCCTCATGGGCATTTCTGGCTCCAAGCTTGCTTCTTTTTTTCCGGGGGCGGGCAGCCGTCTTGGCCCGACGCGATTCGAGGCTGCGGCTGGGAGGCGCTGCCGGCGGCCCACGGCTTGCCATCCGCGCCGGCAGCCTCCCTTGCCTGATGACCTGTCACAACGGAGCCCGGGAGTCCAACCTGCGCTACCCAGTCGCCCACATCAGGCAGAGGCTGCCTTGGAACCCGATTTGCAGTTTCGTGCTCATCGCTCATCTTTCGGGTCCAGAATCTAACTTGTATCGTCGTAGACTTTGCCAAGTACCGAGTGCTATGGGTGGTCGAGATCCCAAACCGTCCCCCTCTTACTCAAGGCCGCCGTGTGTACACGCCCAGCAATTGCTGACAAGTTCAAACGACACCATGGCGTCGAGCAGAGCATTCACGGCACCCCGATGGTGGATCCTCGTGTTCCAGGGCGGTGGGCTTGGGAATATTGGCACAAGTCAGGGGCCGGGTCGGCAAGGATTCGGTCGAATGGTGTAGTCGGTTATCACGTGAGCTTAACACGCTCAAGGTCCTCAGTTCGATCCTGGGTTCGATCATCCCAATCTCCTTCTTTTTCTTCCCTGAAGCTGTTCGCGGTGTGGAGGCGGTGACGTTGACACTGCCGCCCTGCATTCAGGACGGGGGGGTTGCATTATTTTTTTCGTTGGGGGGGATGTGGGGTTGGCATAGCTATGGGTTCCCTCTTCGCCCCAAATGGACAATTGGTTCGATGGTGTAGTTGGTTATCACGTGTGCCTCACACGCACAAGGTCCTGAGTTCGAGCCTCGGTCGAATCAATTTTTGCAGGGTGGGAGCGCGCTGTGTATCTTCGGGGCGCTCTACTTATCCTTTTTTGCTACTGTTTCCTTTGCCGCCTGATAAGCCCAGGATTTTGTTGTGTGCCGGCTTGCTTGCGTGGCTTTACCCGCCGTTTAAACGCGGAGGGACGACGGCCGCGTGTGCTATATGCCAACTCGACCTGAGTGGCTTCCCGCCAACGACCACTGTTGTAGTTGGCTGTTTATAATTTGTGCTATATGCGCTGATTCCCCGCCGGGGGCTGGCAAGGCATGTTTGTGCTTGTCTTTTGCTTTTTCGTTGATAACAAAAATCGGCCACGCCAAGCCATACTATGCACAGCGCCGCTGCTTGATGCTGGCCAGCTACCCGTAATGAAAGCCCTCCCAGTCATCACATCCGTCGCCTGGCGACTCGTCGTCCTCGCCCGCCTCGCCCACCTCGCCGGCGCCCACGGAGGCCTGAACAACTACACCGTCGGCGACACATGGTACAGAGGGTAAGTCCCACCCCATCCATCCCTACAAGCCCCCCCCCTACTACTACTCCATCCCGCTTCCACCACCTCCCGAACTAACAATCAAAAACCAAAGCTACGACCCAACCAGCCCCCGCGAGGACCAAGAAGGCGCGCCCTGGATGGTGCAGCGCCTCTGGTCCACCATCGACCCGCTCACCACCGCTTCCTCCCCCTTCATCTCGTGCAACCAGCCCGGCAGCCCGCCGCCGCCGTCCTACATCCCGATCGAGGCCGGCGCCGTCCTGGGCGCCGCCTACTGGTACTGGCTGCACCCCGTCGGCCCCATGACCGTCTGGCTCGCCCCGTGTCTGGACCCGGACCTGACGGGCGCGCGCGACTGCCGCGACCTCGACCCTTCGGACCCGGCCGACGGCGTGCGCTGGTTCAAGATCTGGGAGGCCGGCTTCCTTCCCAGCAACGACAACGACAACGACAACGACAGCGACCAAGGCGGAGGTGGCGGAGGTGGAGGAGGGGGCGGGGACCTGCAGACGGGCACGTGGTACCAAAAGGCCTTTCAGCGCTGGGACGGGCTCGGCCCCGCAATGTGGGAGGTCCGCCTGCCGCCGCGGCTGAGGCCGGGTCTGTATATGGTGCGCCACGAGATTGTGAGCCTCCACGTCGCCGGCAGGCCGCAGTTCTACCCCGAGTGCGCGCACCTCAACATCTCGGGCGCGGGCGACGACCTCCCGCCGCGCGAGTTTTGGAGACCCTTCCCCGGCGCCTATGACGGCGACGGTGCGTGTTTTTCCTTGTCTCGTCCCCCTCCCCCACCTCCCCGTGCCTTGCGGGATCCCAGCACTGACCAGTGGTGGACAAGCAGAGCCCTCCCTCATGATCGATATCTACTCAGACGAGATGAAGGGTGTTACCGTGAGTGTCTTCCACCGACCCAAATGGCAGAGACCAGAAACGGCAGCTCCAAGTCACACATTAACGCCGAATTTGCTAGAACTATACCATACCGGGAGGCCCAATCTGGGAGAGATTCGATACGCCCATCGTTAAGTACTGTCTAAACTGCTAGGTACCTGAGAGAATATACTTATAAGACCAGGCGAAAGTCGTAATGACTGCTCCATCATTACCTGTCCCCAAATTCAGTTCTTGCTGTTCGCCAACCAGCTGAAAGTGCATGTACGACGATATATAATGCAAAGAGCCACGAGCCCACACGACAAAAAAAACCCACCAGTGTCTACCCTTTGTAACTTCTCTCCACACGCATCGACCAAGAATACAGGGCACCAGAGCCCAGTGGTAAGCCATACACCTAGCAATTCGCCTTCCATGCTACTCAGATGTCACTCCTTCTCACATTCCCATCGCCACTCCTCCTAGCTGGGCTGCCATACGACCCGGGCCAGATATAGGAGCTCGCAGCGGCTCGCGGGGGCTCGCCTGGATCCAAGGGGTCGTCGTAGTCCTCGTCCTTCTAGGACGAGCTCTGCTGGCGCCAGTTTACCCCCTCACCGAAGAACTGATTTCTTGCCCGCGCCTGGGCCATCAGAGGGTTGGTATTTACGTTGGTCCGCACCTCTGGGGCCTCCGACGAGTCCAGGTGCGAGGCCGGGCCATAACCTTCGAGGTATACCCTGGGAATTTGGACCGACAGCTTCCGTGGTCCTGGCGGTGGGCGCGTGATGCCCCCGAGAAGCTCGGCGAGCTTTCCCCGAGAGGTCAAGAGGCCATCGTAGGTGCCCTCCTCGGCCACGCACCCTCCGTCCATGACCACGATGCGGTCCGCAGTCCTCATCACCTCCCGAGAGTGCGTGACTATCACAACCGCCATGTTCCGCGAGCCACCACAATCGGGGCTGGTGGGCTGACTGTCGCCGTAGCTCGGGTTCTTCTGGTGCCGCTGGTGTGTCGCCTCATCAAAGTAGAAGCCCACTCCCGATGAGCGCGGCCTCGTGTTTGTGATAGGGAACTCTGCCATGGCGCTGGCACTCCGGGGTTTGGCTCCATGGCCGCCTACTAGATTCGATATTGTTTCGAGCACCAGATTTCGGCCCTCTGCGTCTAGAGCACTCGTAGGCTCATCAAGAACTAGCAAGTGAGGTCGCCGAACCAGCGCGCGAGCGATGCATAGTCTCTGCGCTTGACCACCGGACACAGAGACGCCGCCATCGCCGACAACGGTGCTGTAGCCTTGTGGGAGCGAGACGATAAAGTCGTGGATTCCGGCAGCTCGGGCCGCTTCCTCAATGTTGGTCTGCGAGCGCAGAGTAGCGTCTTCAGGAAGACCGTACGTGATGTTTGCTGCGATCGTTTGGGGATACAGAAACGGGTTTTGCGGCACGTACGCCATCTTGGCACGCAGTGCTCCAGTCGAAACTTGGCGCGCATCGATGCCAGCGAATGTAAGCAGTGGCTCAGAATTGAATGTGACCGATGCCCTCCGCGTGCCAGCTCCCATTGACAGCTGAGAGATAGGATCCTGTGGGGTGTCCACTGTCGACAATGCTAGCTCGCCCGCAGATGACTGGCTGTTTGGAGGCTCGTAAAGTCGCAGAATCAAGGACAGGATGGTGCTCTTCCCGCAGCCCGAGGCGCCCACGATGGCAGTGCACCCATTGCTTGGTATCGTAAGGTTGACATTGCGTAGTACCCTGACCGACGGTCGGCTGGGGTATGCGAAGCGCAAATCGCGGAAGATGATCGGAAATGGTGTCAGAATCCTCTTTTCTCCTTGCTGTTCAAATGTGGACTCCAGAGGCAGACCTGCGAAGTTCAGGATCTGGTTCGCCTTGGCTTGCGCGGCCGCAATTTGCGGGATGCTGCCCAGCATGGCGATCGCGTTTCCCGTGGTGAAAAGCAGCAGGTTCACGACCTGCATGACGGAGCTGACTGAAGCCTCGCCTTGGTTGGTGACCAGGAACATGCCGTACGAGAAGATGATGACGATGATCCAGTCGCTGATGGAGCAGTGAAGACCATACCACACACCCGTCAGCCATCCCCGCTGCTTCCCGAACCTGTACACGTCCCGGCTGCTGCGGGAGAACTTTTCGGCAAAGTGCCTCTCCAACGAAAAGGCGCGGACGATGCGGATGTTGCTGACCACCTCGGCAAACAGGGAGCCGGTAGACTCGGCGGCGCTGTTGCACCTAGTCTCCCATATGTCGCTCGTGCGGGACGAGTAGTAGACGGTCATGGCGGCGAACAGCAGCATGCCTACAACCACCATGGCCAGCTTGAACAGGATGGCGAGGGCCCAGATCAGCCCCGTCAGGACCATCAACACAACCATGATAGCAATCGGCACAAACTGGGCCACGATGCTCCTCATCTCTTCTGCGCCCCGGTCGAGGATGTCGCATATTCGGCTGGGTGAGTTTGTCGACTTGTCATGCCAAGCCCGCGGCTGACAGAGGATGCGAAAAAAGCCATCGACCTTGAGTGAGTCCACCCACTGCTGGGCAACGACGCCGGCAAGGGAGAATGCGACGAAAAGGGCTGCGAAATCGACCACGCCGACGCCCGCCATGACCAGAGCCCACTGCATACCAACCCTCAGCTTGTCTCCTGGGGCCCAGAAGGCCTGCAGAAGGTTTGCAAAGGCATATGCAAAGAGAGGGTTGCAAGCGGCTGCAACCACACAGCCCAGAAGGCTCGCAGAAGCATAGAGGCGGTGTTTTCTGTCGAGAGTAGGCCATACAGTTTTCAAAACTTGGATTATCGACCTCGATTTCTTCTTCTTATCCGCTTCTTGTCCCGTTTCAGCAGCAGGCGGGCTGGGGAGTGGTTCCTTGGCGATGGTGTCATGGGGCACAAGGCTGATCCTTCTCCGCGGACTCGAGGACTCTGCCTGGCCGCTAGTCCCCAGCCTGGCTGCACGTGCTGATAGCCCCTGGTCTTGGAGAATCTCAAGACTGCTCTTGCGACGCTGCGACTGCTGGGATGGTTTTCGAGAGGAGTCTTGGCCATGTAGCGGCCCTTTGGGGAGTACGTCGCCCTTGGGCAAAAGACCGGCCGTGATGGGGCGTCGCTCGAAAAACTGTCTCACGCCAGAACTCCCGCTTGGCGGCACCAGCGTTATCCTGTTGAGGCGCGATTTGGTCGACATGCTGCCCTCAGTGCCAGACATGTAGAACAGCGGGACCCTGGACGCTTCGTCCGAGTCCGAGTCCGAGGAACTGCCAGACTCTCCCGCAATCTCTTTCTGTCCACTAACGAAACCGGGGGGCAGCGGGCCAAGTGCTCGCATATGAGAGAAGCAACTCTCTTCCATACAGAGGAGGTACTTGCAAATGCCCGACTCTTTGACAGCACCGTCTTCCATGACGAAAACTTGGTCGTCATCGCCGACCTGTTCAACGTCGTGGGTGATGATGATGGTGGTCTTCCCTGCCCGCCAGACTCTGATAGCCTCGATTATCATCTGCCTGGACTTGGGATCCAGGCCGCTGGTAATTTCATCGAGGATAAGCACTGGCGCGCTTCGCAGTCTTGCCCGCGCCAAAGCCACGCGCTGCTTCTGGCCGCCGCTGAGGTTGTGACCACCCAATCCAACCATGGTGTCGAGCCCATCGGGCAGGTTGAGGATAGTCGATTGCAAGAGTGCCATGTCGCATGCGGCCTTTACCTCTTCGGGACCCACAGACTCGGGGAAGATGTGGCCGAGCGTGATATTTGCGCGGAGGGTGTCGCTGAAGAGGGTGCTCTGTTGTTGCACCAGAGTAAGATTCCGACGCAACCATGAGGCGCTCAGAGTCTGAAGAGGGACACCATCAAGGAACAAATCTCCGGCCAAAGGGTCGTAGAATCTCATGAAAAGGTTGGTGATGGTGCTCTTCCCTGACCCGCTCCGTCCGATGATGAAATTTGTCATGCCAGGCTTGATCTCCATCGACACCGACTTCAACACCGGTATTGATGGGTTCGACGGATACGCGAAACTGACCTGTGTACCGGCGAGGTTGTTAGTCATGTATGGCGCAGCAATGGCTTTCTAATTCCGCAGTGAACGTACGTTTTTGAGTTCGAATCTTCCCAGCACAGCACCAGGCTTCTGGTCTCCGTCCATTCGATGCTCACGTTGAGACGCATTATCTTCCAACACTTTCCCGGCGGCCTTGCCCTTGATCAGGGTCAGGATGTGAGGTCCCAGGCCTTCAATGCCCTGGAACGTGGTCAGGGCGGCATAGAAAGTAACAAGTACGTTGCCAACCTTCATGGCTCCCTGAGTGACCTGGAAGACTCCGAAGAAGAAGCCGACGACGAAGATTATGATCATGTAGAACTTGAGGAAGGCCGTCTGCAGCGCGTTCCACCGTGTCTGGTTGCGGGCATGGGTTCCGGAGGCTCGGACGGACTGTTTGTAGCTGTACAACTCGTGCTCTTTGGCGTTGTATACCTTGACCAGATCGATTCCGGTGAGGCTCGCGGCCGCAACCCTGTTAGCACCAACTTGCTCCGCCTTTTGCGCAACGACCTCTTTCTCCAGCCGCTGTCCCAGAAATCGCATTGGCAGCGCAATCAAGGGAATAGACGCGATGATGACAGTGGTCATTAGAGGGCCGTGTATGAAGGCGACCACGACACCAGCGAAAGACAGCATCGAGTCGTGTGCGAGGAAGCCCATGACCTGGCTGTTTGCAATCTGCAGTTCTCGTATATTTCTATCATATTGTCAGCCTCGTTTGCCCCTCAGCACTAGGAAAACCGCCATAGGGCAAGATGGCTGTATTGACTAGAGCTGGGAAAGGGAGGGTTCAACAAATACGCACCGTTCGTTCGCAGTCAACATGGCCGGCATGCCATCTCCGTAGGAGTCGAACCAGGCCATATCCCTGAGTAGTATGGACTTGAAGAGTCTCAGGCGGGCGCCCAGAGCCTGTTGCTCGCCATACTTGATCCAAGACTTGAGGAGCCAGAAGCTGGAGAGAAGGTGGGCGGCAGCGACGGCGGCCAGGATATGGACCCAGTACATGACATTGTCGAATGCTTTGGGGGGCTGTTTTCCGTCAGCTGCGAAGCGTGCTAGCTCCTCGAAGACCTTTCCGAGCAGAATGACTGTCGCGATCTCGGTGCCGACCTGGATTGCTGTTGCGAGGAGGGCGGATGCGAGGACGATGTAGTGCCAGGGCTGGAGGAAGGCAAAGAGGTCCTTCCACTTAGCCTTGGATGACTTGGCGATGTCCGGTGCCGCTGGTGGAGGAGTGTCAGCATGGTCGCTTGTTGCGGTCTCCTCAATCTGGTCCATGTTGACGAGCTCTGGCTCTGCCGAGTCCTGCGGGTTGGTGTCTGTGGAAGCCATGCTGATGTGGCTGGCACGCTTGTCGCCGAGGCGACTTGGCTTCTGGATTGAGAGTCTTTCTTCTGTCTCGAAATTTGACTCTGAGAAGATGGTGGAGGAAGTGGCGCCATCGTCCTCGATCTTTGGTCCACCCATCTTTCACCAACCATCGACGGAAGGGGCGACAAAGCACTTGCTTCCCTTGCGGCGCCCTAAGACCCGCTTAGAGCACCCAAAACGGTAATGCGGTAAGGGATCAAGGCTACCGGATCTCTCGAAGGCAAGGGCGGCAAGCACTCCAGCACTGAGGAACAAATGAGAAATGGTCGAGACTTCCTCTCAGCAGGAGGGATTGCCGGCGTCGGGACTTGTTCTCCAGAGCGGGAGTTGGCGATGCAGACGAATTCATCATGACTAGACGGATTCTAGAAATGGAAAGGAAGGAGGAAAGGAAATGAGGAAAAATTCTTCATTATGCAAGCGAAACCGCTAATATGCCCGTGATGCCGATGCCTTTGTTATTGTTTGAGTGCGGGTTCGTATTGTCCACGAGACGACGGCGTCGAGGTGCGCAGGAACAATACCAAGATTTACCCTATCGATCAGATGCGACCGAAGCAATCAGCAACAGTGCTAGATGCATCAAACTGCAGATTATGTGTTCTAATTTGGCCTACCGATACTAAATTCTCTCGCCCTTCGTCCCCAAGTTGCGGCGCACGCGTTTGATGGCAACCGTGACTATTATGACCATAGTAGACAAGGCATTCCAGGGTGTTTTCCAATAAAGGCGAGGTAAACTAGAATGGAATGTTCACCGCAGGGTCCATCCAATCGACCGGCGCCTGCCAGTCTTGGCGAGCAAGGCAACCTACCGATCAAGCTTCTAAGCTGGATTGCAATCGGCAAGGGCAACACAGGGTCATTCTCAACATGGCACGCATAAATGATTTTTCTTTGCTGTTAGACACTTCCGCCTCAGCTACTCGCACTGTCCTCCTTCTTTTCCTCCGGATGTGCCTGCTCGTAGACCCAGTCGTTGAGCCCGGCCCTGTTTCTCGCAATCTCGAAGGCGTAGAACTGCATCCTCGGCACTGTGGCGGACGGCAAGAATAATCAGCACACCTGCCTCCCCGGATAGAGAGCACAGTACAAAAAGACAACCCACCGAATATGACCCTCTCCTCCGTGTCCACGTCGTCCTTGGGGCTGACGCGCAACATGGTGCCAAAGTTGAAGTCCTCCACCTTCTTCTCGTACACCATCATGAACTTGCGCCACCTCTCCTTGCCCTCCTTGCTCTTGAGCTTGTCCTCCACGATGTCCTCTGCCGGGTCGAGCTCGGGGAAGTCGGCCTTGAGGTGCTCGTATATCTCGTCGTCCATCTTTGTGAGGCGCAGCTGGGACCCTCGCTTATTCTTCAGGATCTTCCAGTACGTCTCCATGTGCTGGATCACTGCGCGGCAAGCACCAAATCTGTCAGCCGGTGGCGATTCCCAGGCGGAGGGCGCGCCGCGTCGCGACATGCGGGGTCGTTGGGCGCGTGGCAGAACAGGATGTGATCAGGAATATCGTATGTGGGAACGAACCTTTCTGCGCAAACGCCATCTCGATCTGTTTGCCATTTGTTAGCTACTGTCGCTATCCGCACGGCCGGCCCGACGCGCGGCGCGTGGCGCGAGCATGTCGACTTACGTTTTCGTGGTTTGGCGCATTCTCCGCATCGAAGGCTGCAGGCGCGGGGCGCATCCCCGGCGGAGGCTCAGGGCCGAATGTCTGGACCATTTTTCCTTGTTTGTTGTAGGACTTCTCTTTTCTCGGTGGAGGGTTCCAGGCTATCTCGCCAGGTTCGAGGTTGGAAGTCAAACCACGCAATCGATGTATGTCACAAAAGTGTTGTGGTCGCCAGAGCGCATCGCCAGACCTCTGCAACGGAGTCGTGCTTCTTTCGTCATTGATGGTGGGGCAACAAGAATTTTAGCTTTCAGGGAGCCGCGCGGTTCTTTCGGCCGACTTTTAACCGGCAGCGCGGGCGAGAACCAGAAAGTCCAGCACCCTCGGCTTCGCCCACCGGGACATCGGAATGCAGATTATCCATCTCGGTAGAAATGCGCGCCCGCAGGGGGCCCATACTCTTCCGCTCGCGCGGGTCTAGAAGCAATCCATCTTGGCGAAGCTACACCAGACACCGAGCTTATCCCGCCGCCTTCACCGTACTATTCCCGCAGCGCTATTTCCGTGGTGCTGCACGCAGCCAAGACGACAGGCAGGTGGGCTGGGAGGGGAAGGATGAAAATGTTGAGGAGTTCTGAAACGGGCAGGAAAACGATACTTCTGCCATCATCTCCCCCAGTCTAGTCTCAATCGTGGACGCTCAGGCCGGAAACGCTGCGGGCGTGGGTAATGTACGATGCTGGGCGCTTTGGAACAATCTGCCGGCTGCACTCTTCCTCTCGCATCGCTGCACAACCCTTGCTCCAGCCCGCACTAACCAGCACCAGCACACCACATGCTGTATCTTTCTGTTGTCGGCTGCATTTTGCGACCCTCAGCTCCGCTGGTGCTAAGGGATGCGTCCCAGCCAGTTTGGGGGCTTGATTTGTTCGTCAACGGCCAGGCCCGGGAATAAGGCGGGGTTGCCCGCTTTTCGCCGGCTTCCCTATCACGCCCATCCCAGCCGAACTGCGTCTTCACAAAAAAAGACATCGGTTGGTTCGTGGCCCACTGGGCGAATCCTTCAACGAAACACTCGGCGCCGCGTGCTGAGCGCTGAAGTACCATGCATCTGGATCTTCTTCCCCAGCGATCCGCATCCGTCCAGCGGCTGGCCAGGGGCTAATCTTGACGCCTTGGCGAGGTGGGCGGACAAAAGCCCCCCCTCATCTCCACCTACGTAAACGGGCATTCGTGCTGTACGTAAGATCAAGCCTAAACGAAGGGGACGCCCGCACGTCCGCCAGCGGGAGGAGATGGTAGAATACAAGCATGACGGTGTAAGTCATGACGACGGTTTACGTAGACCTAGCTCTTGGGGGATTGTACCCCGGCCGGGAGGAATGTGCCGCTGTCCCCGTCTATTCCCGCAACCGACGGGAACCCTGGTGGGCCCGTCAAAACCTCCATTCCCATCCGGCGCCGCCAGCACACGAGGCCCCGGACTCTCGCTACGCTGTACATGTGGAGAAGCCCTATTTGTGGGAAATGCTCAAAAGCCAGCCTCCCTCCATCAACCTCGGGCAGGGTCGCTTGTCTTGGACATGGACGCAGTAGGTCTTGATACTCCTTGACACCCTCAACAACTTGCTCTATCAGTCGTTGATGTCTGACAGCTTATCGAGACAGAATGACTTCCAGTGCCAGGGGGCACACGGACCCCTCTCGGGATGATATCGCAACCCACAGCCACCAGGGTGGAGCGGTCAGCCTCGCCAGCAGGCAGACGGCCGCCTCGCCGGCGAGGGAGGTCGTCGACGAGAACACCGAGATCACACACCTCTACCTGACGTTCGACACTCCACTCCCGATCCCCGACACCACGCCTCGCCAGGACGACCAGACGACGCCCACGGCGCCCGCGCCGGACCTCACCCGCTTCGCCGACCCGCTGCTCTGGCCGCGCGGGCGCAAGAACCTGATGCTCTTCCTCTCGTGCGTCGCGACCCTCCTGACGGCCTACACGGCGGGCTCGTACGCGCCCCCCGCGCGCGGCATGGCGGCCGACCTGCACAACGAGGGGACGGGCGCGGCGTCGACGACGCACCTGGCCGCGCTGGCGGGCATCACGACCTTCTGCTTCGGCTTCGCGCTGGCGCCCATGGTGCTGGCGCCGCTGTCCGAGGTGGGCGGGCGGTACCCCGTCTTCGCCGCGTCGGGCGTCGTCTTCGTCGCGTCGCAGGCCGCGTGCGGCGCGGCCCGGTCGCTGGCCGCCATGCTGGCCGCGCGCCTGCTGACGGGCGTCGGCGGCTCCGTCTTCAGCACCATGGTCGGCGGCGTCATCGCCGACATGTGGCGCGCCGAGGAGCGCAACACCCCGATGGCCCTCTTCAGCGGCGCCGTCCTCGTCGGCACCGGCCTGGGGCCCATGGCCGGCGCCGAGATCGCCGGCGGGGGGGCCCGCGGCGCGTGGAGGTGGGTCTTTTGGCACCAGGTCATCGCCGCGGGCGTGCTCATGGTCGCCCTGATCGTGCTCTTCAAGGAGAGCCGCGGCTCCATCCTGCTGTCGCGCAAGGCCCGGGCGTTGAACAAGTGGTACGAGGAGATGGAGCAGCAGGGCTACTACGGCGTCTGGGTGGAAGACGCTCCAACGCTCCGGTGTGGAGGGGGAGGGCAAGATTCAGACTTGGAGGCGGGTACGCCGGACAAAACAGCCGAGAGCGCCGACGAGAAGGCTGTGTCGCGGCGCGAGTCCGTGGCGACGTCAACTTCCCTCCAACGGATCCGGTGGAAGGTCAAATCTGACGAGGAGAGGGCGTCGATCGGCAAGGTGATCTCCATCTCGGTGTCCCGGCCGTTCCACCTCTTGTTCACAGAGCCCGTCGTCTTCTTCTTCTCACTTTGGGTCTCGTTCGCGTGGGGTGTCCTCTACTTGACCTTTGGCGGCATCCCTCTCGTCTTCGAGGTCGTGTACGGCTGGCGCATCAGGCAGGCGGGCTACGTCTTTGGTGCCATGATCGTCGGCTCCGTCGTCGCCACGGCCGTCAGCATTCTCCAAGAGCGGCTCCTGCATCACCGCAACTGGGACGCCAACTCGGACGTCGACACGGCCACGCTGTCCCCCGTGTGGCTCTTTCTCCGCCGGCGTTTACCAACCGATGTGCCCGAGTCCCGTCTCTATTTCACCTGCTTGTCGGCCACACTGCTACCCGTAGGTCTCTTCCTCTTTGGTCTCGCATCTCGACCGGACTCGCACTGGATGGTTCCGACCGTGGGGGTGGGAGTGGCGACGGTAGGCATCTTCTCGGTGTATCTGGCCACCTTCAACTATCTCGCCGACGTGTACCAGACCTACGCGTCATCGGCGCTCGCGGCGCAGAGCTGCTGCCGCAACATCCTCGGCGGCATCTTTCCGCTCGTGACTGGGACGCTGTTCCAGAATCTGGGGCCGGCCAATGCTGGCATCGTGCTCGGAAGCATCGCGGTAGTGCTGACGCTTGTGCCTTGGGTCTTGGTGCTGTATGGCGAACGCATCCGGGCAAGAAGCCGGTTCGCCGTGGTAAGTCCTCGTCGCTGCTCCCCTGCAAACTTGTGTGCAGATACTAACCATGACACTTCCATGTCAGGCGTTGGATAGCAAGATATAAACGTCGGGCAAGGGGACATAGCCAGGAAGATAATTGTCGCTAGCCCGCGGAATGCACCGAGCCGAACTTGGGTTGAGCATTTTCTCGATTTCTGTGCTGCAGCGTGATTGAAGACGGTGGCGGTGACGCAACAACTACCAATATGCCCTGTCCTGCGAAAAGCCAACCTTCCTTCACCTTACGCGAGGTGGAACCAGGCCACAAGGCCGCCGAGTCAACATGGTATTGCCAGGGTGAATAAGCATAAGCATAAGAATGAAGAGCCACGACATTCATAAGCATGTCTGATCCTCTTCACAGCCTGGGCAAGCCCGGACGTGCAATGAGAAAAAAAAGAAAAAAGCTGTTCGCGTCACCTCGAGGCAGTGTAATACGAGGGACACAGTGAGGGAAACCATAGGCAAGCCCAGCGGGAATCCCTCGAGTGGCAAAAATAAGAATAATCGTATGATTCTAGTCCGTAGACTAGTTTCAGAGATTAAACTGAAAAGAACAGATACTACACTTGATCTAAGCCAAAAGGCAAAGAGAGCTAAGGAAAAAGGAAGAAAACAGGCAAAGGAAGGGGAGCGAGGGTGGTATATATAGGCATCGCTTTGTTGGCCCGTGCATTTTGCTGCAGACATTTTGCTGCCGACATTTTTTCTCCATCAAATCCAGCCACACCGCCCAAAGCAAACCTGCGGCAGAAAACACATGTGGGGCGTGCCGGAGAAGGAGTCACACCAAGCAGGCAGGTGGGGCGCAGGAGCTGGGGCTGCGATCACCAGCCACTCAAGTCACCAAAATGCCATGACGCCAGAAGCCACCTGCCTTCAAGCGTCACGAGAGCCTGGAAGCAGCGATCGCTCTCCAGCGAGGAAACCTTGACCCATTTCGACCTGTCACAGAGAGCAAGACTGTGCTTTATTTTGGGCAAAAACCCTTGGTGGTACTTTGCAAAGGTGGCTTAAATGAGGGTGTGAAGGGAATTTTTTCTTGTCTTTCATGGACTTTTTGTTTCCTCTCCTGAAATGTCCCACGATGCTTGCCGAAGCGGCCTGTCGATGTCATCGCCGTCATTCTTGTCAATGCCCACCCACCGAGCTGTCATCCCCTAGTTGATGATGCACCTAGCGCCGCTGGTCCCGCAGTCGTTGGCGGGGCCGTAGGAGCAGCACTTGGTGCCGTCCTTGGAGCACTCGTAGATGTGGTTGAGCTTCCTGTTCCGGGTGACGACGTAGGGGCCGGAGCCGCTGTTCCAGCGGCAGTTGCCGCACACGGTCAGCTGCTTGCCGCGCGAGTCGCACTTGCAGTTGACGCTGTAGTCGCACGCCCGCTTGACCATCTTGCCCGCCAGGTCCATGACCTCGCGCTCCAGCACCGGCTCGTCGGCGCCGCGGGCCTCGACGCCCAGGAGGGACGGGGCCACCACGTCGTCGGTGGAGACGGCCGAGGCCAGCGCGGCGGCCAGGAGGACGGCGACGGAGGAGAAGCGCATCTTGGCTGGGAGGGTGGCTGTTGTTGTTGCAAGGTCTTTGGCGTTTGGCTGTGGTTCGGAACGGTTAGTGAACGGTGTTGGCCTCTGGGAGGAGACTTGGGCGGCGAGGCTGCCCACACACCTGGAAGATTGCTCTTGCTGTCCTTGGGGCTGTGGTGTCTTGCCTGTCGTCGAGAAAGCTCTCTCGAACGGTGGTATCCCTCCCCTTTTATATACGGCCTCTGGCCAAGCTTGGGGTGTTTTGGTTACCTCGAGCGAGGATCCCCGGTCCGACGATGCCTTCGACCTGCCCAAAACGTGCAGCATGGTCACCTTGGTCATCAATATGGGCAGCATACCCGACTCTAGATTACCCGGGCGCTAGCTCCAATCGACATGATGCTATTCCTGGCGCCACTCCGCATGCCGTCGGTGAGAACAATAAGCTTTGCCGTCCGGCCTCTAGCTTTTGGCCCGGGTACCCACCCCGGCACTGCACCCGGCCGACATGCACGGCGGCCCCATTCTGCCTGTTTCTCCAGCCAACCACGACTCTCCCTTGGGATGTGTCCCTGGCGCGAAGGAAGGAGCTGATGCAGCTAGTCTGATCCTAGGCCATGGCAAACGTTATGAGATTCCCCGCTTCGACGTGGATGGGATTGTCTGACTCGCATGTGACGAGCCGAAAATAATGATCGTGGGATGATCATTTCCACAGCTTCCGTCGCCAAGCTGGAGAATCCACTGCGGCTGAACAGAGGTGGGTTATTTCGGTTTCCGCACCCGCGTACGATGTATAAGCCGCGGCCTGAATATCTTCCCGGTGCTCGGTGGCGATAATAGACGCAACCCCTCACCAAACCCGGCCCACCTCGACTCGTCCGGGTTCGCTCATCAGGCCCTGCATCTGTGGAGAGCCGGTGAAGGTGTCAAACCCGCTGGCTCCTGCGTATTCGAGCGAGGGATACGTGGTCTTTGCTTCCCCGCTGGCAGTACACGCGCAGAGTAGTGCAGATCATAATGGGGAAAGTGTGAGAGGAAGCACCAGCCGCTCGTTGGATTATTACAAACGCGAGGTCGCGACATACCGGGTGGTCCCGGGCTCCTTGTATGCTTGCGGCAAGACGGGGCGATACAAGATGCTTGTTGAAGAGCCGGAGACGCCCGGCAACGCAGAGGCCCCCATCCCCGAAAGCTTGGATTTGGGGAGCATCCAGCTTTTCGCCGAGGATGGAACATTCCAACGAGTTCCGGAAGCCAACGCGCGATCCCGGTCAGAGGTATCGTTGGGCCTTTCGCTATGCTGCGAGGATGCCGACAAGACGATGTACATGAGGAGTCGATTGAACCTCGCACCTCCTCGAGTGAGAAAAGGCCATGTGCAATTGCCGCTATCCAGCATCCCCGTTTCCTGGAAGCTTGCCAGCGAAAAAAACCTTGCTTTCCAAACACATCTACGGCAGCAATTTCACATTGTTAGGCCTCGAGCGCTCCGCCAGAGGCTGGGGAAGCAGCTTGAAGATGGGAGAGTACGAGCGAGCACGCAGGCGCATTCTGCGAACGGCCGGCGATAAGCATCATCGGTTCTTCGCAGCTGGCCTCGCGCAGGAGGGTGCCTGTGTCTTCATCCGTCAGAACGGAATCTCGCTTACTCAATGCGTCAGGGAGGCGATGCAACATTGTGGACATTATCACAGCTGGACCATCATCGCATAGGAAGATTCACCGGTGATGGTGACTTTTAACTGGAGCCCAGATAGTATCAAGGGCTAGTGTGGGATCCCTTTTACAGTCTCTCCAGACAAAAGTAGCTACTTGCGTTGAGCTCAAAGAAAGAACAAGGAACAACTCGATGCTAAAACCTGCTGTCCAAGCACCAACAATAGAAAAAAAAATACCAAAAGCTCCTAAGGGCAGTTAACAAAGTCCCTCCCGTTGGGGGCGTGCCGCATGACGCCGCACATCTTGAGGTCCCACTTCTTGGCTTTGCGGTTCCAGTTGACGCTGAAGACGACGCGGTCCGACCCCCGGTTGGGCGCGTTGGCGGGCAGGCCCGCCGGGTCGATCGGGTACGCGAACAGGTTCTTGTTGCACCCCGCGGGCCCAAAGTTGATGTTGTCGCTGTTGCCGTACGAGTGCGGGTCGCCCGTCGCGGGCGGCACGAAGGTGCTCGGCTTGCCCTTCCAGACGGGCAGGGCCTCGCTCGTGAAGACCTTGGTGGCCTGGCCGGACGTGTAGACGTGCCGCGGGTTCAGGCCGAACCGCTGGGACTGGACCTGGGGGCAGGTGTAGTCCGCGGTCACGGAGGTGACCAGGAGGACGGCGGTGGCGAAGAGGGACTTGATGGCGACCATTTTGGGGGTTTGGGGGTGGTTTGGTGGAGGTTTGTTGTTTAGGGGGCTTGATGGAGTGGAAATGATGCGGATAGACAGGGGAAGACTGGCTATGGGAAGGTGGCTGCTGTGGTTTGTTGCTGTGTTAGTGGAGCGGACAGTATCTGATCTTGCCAGAGTCTGTCAGGGCTTTTATAGATGAAAGAGACATGGCGTTTCCAAGATGAATACTATGTCTGGACGACTCCAGTCCGGCTCTGGTGTTGTTTTCTTCCCTGTAGGGGAGGCTATGGGAAAATGTCAGCGCAGTCTCGTCTATACGAGGTGGGCGTACAAACCAGTGAAAAGGCGCCGAGCATCCCGCCGTGATTGGCGTTATTAGCAGCTTCGGGACACATGATGCCAATGGGCGCCGCCTTCGCCATCTAGAGGAGCAGCCGAAAGTCATGGCTTAGACAAGACAGGCCATATGCGGTTTGCTTCGCCGGGACACAGCAGGCTCCGCGCCCAGGTCGAAGTCAGCTTCGCCAAGGAATCGCCGGCTCCTGCCTTCGCCAGGAGCCGAAGGTCAGGCTGCTGTGGACGATAAGGCGTTTTAGTTTTAGCTGTTTGGTGTCGATGTATGCGAGCCTGGTGTTGTGGTTGGTCGCCTCGCGGCTGATGTCTTAAGCTAACTGCATCCTGGAGGCCAAAACTTAATTAATGCCGTCAGACGGAACTCCCGTATTGTCCAATCTGCTGCTGGACGCACCTGCCTATGTACCTACTGATGTACCTTAACGGCACCGCCCCCTGGAGCCGTCTTTGCCGCGGTGACACCAACCGAATCCGTTGGCTCCTTCCTGCCCGGGCAGCCGCGTCTGCAACACGCAGGAAAGGACCAGATTGGGAATTTGTTCGAGCTGGGAAGATTATATTTTCCCCGCTCTAACCCCGCTGGTCGTTCGACCTCGACCTCGACCTTTCCTTATCCATTGCGTCCTCGACGTACCAGCCTACATCCCCATTGAACCATCTTGCACACGATTCCAACGCGAAAAGTCCCCTCCTTGTCTCTGTTTGCACCTCTCACTCTATTTGGCCAATCAACAAGATGGCGCAGATATACACCTTCCCTACGCACCCGCTGCTCGTCTTCTCCGACGACGCCGACGCCTGGCTCGCGGAGATGAAGGCGGAGATTGATAATCCTCCGGACCGCGGCTACCCTCGCGGCGCGCGCTGGCCCATCTTTACGGAGTCGCGCCTGGCCGCCATGACGGACCTGGTCCGAGACCCGAGCAAGGACACGCCCGACGTGGTGGCCCGCCTGGATCTGAACTCGCAAGAGGGCGGGCGGGTCTGGTACGGCGTCCGAGACGCCATCCACAAGCTGCCCAACCACCAAGAGAGGCTGCTGGATCTCGTCGTGGTCGCCCATCAGCAAACCCCGGGCGACTACAAGCAGCCGCTTGAGTTTCCTGATATCTTTGGCCAGTACACGAACTGGAGTCGTAAGTCATCACTACACCGTTTCTAGAACGTCGAGAGCGGTCGCTGACAAGCTGGAACCACAGCATCTGGAGTCGAGAGAAACCTCAAAAAGAATGCGGCCGAGAGCTTCCTGGCCGAGACCTTCATGGCGAAGCTGACGGCGCGCGGACTCGCCGGCCCCCAGTCGGACGACGCGATGAAGCACCTGGCGGCCTGGCGCGACCGGGGCGCGCTCGTGCTGCGTCAATATCTGGAGAGCACGCCGTGGGACCCCAAGTCGGCCACGTACGAGTATGCCGACGACCCGGAAGAGGAGGAGGAGGAGGGGCTCGAGGATGGTGAAGAGCCCTACATCGAGATGTCGAGGTCGGTCCGGATGCTCGACTACACCGTCCTGTTTGTGCATCCCTGGATCGCAATCTGCGGCGGTGCTTTTTATGATGCTTGCGTCGCGGACCCGGCCCCGGTCTTCCCGAGCGACGTGCCGGGGGAGAACAGGGACAACAATTTCGGGGTAGGAAAGGGGTACTGCATGGCGCGCTGGGACTTTTGGCGAGACAGGCTGCAGGCTATTTCGGAGACGGAGGAGCTGATGCCGGCTACGCGGGACGTTGCGAGGGACTGCGTGGCGAGGATGAGGGAGGTTGAGATGGAAAAGGGGAGGAAGGCGTGAGAGAGGGGAGCATCATGAATGGGACGAGCACCTTAAAAGCGTTTGTTAAGTTATCGGTATTATTTATTATGTCGAGACGCTTCCCAGTTTCTCCTGATCTTTCCGCTGCCTCCCATGTTTGTTTGGATTTATGCTGCCCAACAGTCAAGGCGACCTTTTCTCGTTGTATGCTCTCTTGTCATCCACCTTCTCATCGTCAACCTTCTCGTCATCTACCTTCTCATCCTCCACTTCTGTAACATCCTCAACATTCGCACGCGGCGATGGCGATGGCGACGGTGGAGGCGGTGGTGCCGGCAGCGTCATCCGAGAAGCCGCTCCAGCAGACCCGAGCCCGGCCCAGGCCCCGCCGTGCGACATGCTGGGCCCGGGGCAGACGAGAACAATGGCGACCTGCCCCGCAGCTATGGACGCTGCGCCTGCGGCTAGCGAGGCGATCGTGCCCTTGAGCGCGTCGTCGTTGTCGAGGCTGACGAGCCCGACCTGGCCGTCCACCCTGTTGCCCTGCGTCGCGACCGCGGTGGGTGTGGTTCTTGGACGCTCCTCAAGATCCGATGTGCTGCTGCTCCCGGAGTCCATGGTCCGGACCTCGAAAGCCGCCTCGGTCTTTGTCTTCTCCAGCTCCGGCAGTGCGGCCCGCGCTGCTCCTACCCCAACGCCGTGTTCCTTAGGGTTGTAGATGTGGCCCCGCATGTCGGACAGGATGCGGCAGGTGTGGTGGTTCAACAACAAATGAAGAATCGCCGTCCGGGCCTCGAGCGCCTAAACCAGCCCCAACAAGGTCGAATAGCGAGCGGACCCGAACAGGAATGCGCTCAGGAAGCTGTGCCGCTTCTTGGCCTCGTTTGCGACCCGGACGGCCAGGGCCGAGATGTCGACGAGAAGGGACGTGATGTGCTTGTCCGTCTCGGAGAGGAGAAAGGCCTGCCAGCAGGCAGAAACAAGCTTGGGGTCTTCGCATTTGGCCCTCTGGCATGGTGGCTATCCCTGTGGGCCGTGGCCCATCGCCTCTCCGTCGCAGCCAAGTTACAAGCAGGACACTTTTTAATGAAAAGTTGGAGTGGGTACATCTATTCATGTTATGGTTACGGGCTCGCTGGGGGATTGTAAATTGTATAAGTCCCCGTTCGACGAGGAAACTGGCTGTCCTCTGGGATCAACATGATACTGCGTTGGTATTTTGGGTGGGGATAAGGTAATGGCATTTGGGTCTCGGTTTTAAATGTCCCCTAGGGCTGCTTCTCATTTAACTGAGGCCAAGCCAGAGGTGTCGGTGTAGGAAATAATGTGGGAATAAGAGATAGCACCGCAAGGGGCGGGACTGGTCAAATTCATCTTCGGCCAAGCCTTTCTCTTGGTACGCACGCTACTTGGGTCGGCCGATCACCGAGATACGCCGGAGGAAACCCTTCAATTCACGGTATGGAGTTCCTGGCAAGCCAGAACTCGATCCCCAGGCCCAAGGGCTCGCTGATACTCCCCGACCTCGGCAGGATGCAATGGTGGAATCACGGGAGCTTCCTTCCTGCGTCCCGCTTCATCGTCAGGGATCCGAGAAAGGTGGAGCAGCAGACGGCCAACGACTACCGGGTCCTCGGGGGAAATTCTTGACCACGCCTCCAGTTCCGGCACGCCGCTTGATTGAGATGGTCAGGAATCGCGTGTCATTCACGAGCTGCCGCGCCGGGAGGTGCTCCTAGAGCGACTCGGGCGCGCAGCTCAATCCGGCGGTGGCTTCCTGATCTGGCAGGTCGCCAGGGGCTAGAATAGGATCGCAAACATCGATCACCCGGAGTTGGACGGATGAGCGACCCAGGAGGGCCGCTGATGGCCGGCACGAAAGCATCGGGTGGTGGCGGTGGGTGCCTAGACCGGTCGTAGTCCGATGTCTCCGACAAAAACTTTGGAATCTGCCCCCACCTCCGATGGCAGTCATCTCGGGCGGGCTGTCTAGGCTGGCCTGTTAACTTGGCAGCCGAGCCGGCGTTTTACTGTGGCAGCCACTGGGCTGGAAGAGGGCTGTGATATTCAACTCGGCTACCTGCCTAACCCCTGCTCTGCACGCCGCCGATAGAAGAGCAAATTTGTTAATTAGGTATGCTTCGTCTCTCGCAAAATTTCCAGATTGAGAGAGGGCAGCCCGTTCTCGTGTCCCTCCCGGGCTTAGGTGGCCGCTGCAAGATGCCACTGGCCACAAGTCGCATGCCCGGCGAAAACACGAATACAAGGTTCAGACGTTGGGACGCGCCCCACGTGGATTTAGAAATGCCGGATGAAAACAAAGTTTGGGCGCGCCGAGAGGGACAACCTCCGTTGGGGGCGCTGCATCGGCGCCGAAACACTGCCCAGCCCTCAGGTGCGCAGGCGGGAGGTCATCTCTCCCGGCCTTGGCTGCCTGCACAGCTCGGCGGGCCACAGTCAGAGGTGAATTCGGCCCATGTCTGGCATTGGCTGGGGGGGGAGATCTACAAACGGCATACTGCAAGCGACATGCAGCCCAATATATGAAATCCCAAGTCCAAGCATACCTCCCACATCATAATGTTCCTCCGAACTGTCTATCCCGCCGATATTGTCTGTCTGCGCTTCGCTTTCCGTTACTACGTTTCATCTAGCGCAACGGCCGTCTCTTGGCGGGGCGTTGAACTAGCAGACTGACTCCCCCTCTTTCCTTCCAACCCACCGCAGAGGACTGATATTTGAAGCCCCCCAAACCCGGGTCAGAACACGAGCCAGAAATTCTCGATAGCCCATCCTCCACCACAAGGGTTGGCCATCAGTTTAGAGCACACCCACCTCCCTTCCTCACCAAGCAGCCACCATGCCGTTCGAGTTCGGGCTGTGCGAACCCGAGGACCTGGAACGGTGCTTCGAGGTGGTCTCGCTGGCCTTTGGGCACGACCACCCCTACATCGACGCGCTGTTCCCGGCCCACGACACGCCCCAGGGCCGCGCCGACGGCGCGCGCTGGCTCGGCTCCGCGCTGCGCGACCCCTCCGGCACCGGCCGCGCCGCGCGCTTCTGCAAGGCCGTCGACACCGACACGGGCCTCATCGTAGGCTTCGCAAAGTGGGACATCTACGACGGCTTCGCGCCCGACGTCGGGCCGGGCAGCCTCAAGGGCGACCAGTGGCGCGACAAGGAGGCCAAGGAGTGGGCCGACTACATCTGGTGGGAGTTTACGCGCCGCCGCTGGGCCGCGCTCAAAGAGAGCGGCGGCCACCTCGTGTGTGAGTTTCGTCCATATATATGTGTGCGAGTCGGCTCCGCTGGGGCGCCAATCGTCCCATTCGCCGCTAATCGTGGTCGCGCAACAGCATTGGACATCATGAGCGTTGACCTAGCGTACTAGCGCCGTGGTGTCGGAGCAACACTGATGAAGTACGGCGTTGATGAAGCTAATAGATTGGGATTAGAGGTAGGGGCCCCGCAAAGCCACGGCACAGTCCCTAAACGAAAAGCTTGCTTCTGACACCTGACCTGCAGGCTGTAGTTGAGGCCACGAGGATGGGGAGGTATCTTTACGAGAATTTTGGATTTGAGATCAGGGAAGACATCTCGATACCTAATCCGCCGGAGCGGGCGGGCCAGCCAGAACAGTTCATCCACTGGATGACACGGCCTGCATAGATGTATGGGGCTTGCACGGAACTTGTACAGAACTTTGTTCCATCTGTTTGTACTGATAGAATCTACCCATCGCCTAGCAGTACATGCCTGAGTATGGTGTGCAGGATAACGACTAGCAAAAACAAAGCACTGCGGTAAACTGGGATCAGACTGAAATCTCAAAAGGCGATGTCTCTGAAGGCGCAAGTCCTTGAGGGGACGATGTCGGTAGAAGCGAGTCTTGTGGTTCGAGCTGCTTTGCTGGCAAAAAGCGAGGCGTGGAAGCTTCCAGCTATCCAAGCATGTCTGGGGATAGGAAGTGGGAAAAGAGGTGTCGGAAGGAAAATTTTACAGCCTATAGCTTTCAGCTCTACGAGTTTTCACGATCCAATGAGGCGAAATTTCTGTGCGAGGCTGCGCAGCGTTTCGTGCTCCCCTGTTCTGCTCTTGGTGACCAGCACTGTGGAGAAAGCTCCATCAGCCCTGTACAAGTAGAATATGTCGCTGCTGGGGTCATCTAGAGCTGGAAGCGCCATGTAAAGCTATCGCTGCCCATGGACTCTTGCTTCAAACCATGCAACCCTGGCCGTCAGCTGAGGTGCGCATCGGATGGGCTAAGCAGATATTGAGAATGGTTGACCGCTGGCATCATACAGGTGCCTGGCTAATGTCGCCTGTGGGATTTTTGGTAGTTCATGCACGCCCGCGTCCGTCATGTTTCTGGATGTCGCAGGCTATAGAAAGACTACTGGGGGGCGTCGACTGCCTTGAATACCGTGAAGATGGATGGAAGCTAGGAGTGCTGCCCACTGGTGCCTCCCTCAAATTCCGGTTGACCTCGACCCAGGCGTCTACAAGACTCTGGGAATTGAGATGCAGCGCATCAAGCAAGACGGCCCGCAACCGAAAAAGGGCACTAGCCCCAATACGAGAAGGTGCAGAATACAGGAAATCGACAAGAGTGGAAAATCCAAGACGGTGTGTCTGAGATAAGCCTCGGTGGCTTGACGCCAAGCCTGGGACGGCGTAGATAGGGTGGCGGGCTAGATGGAGAGGAGACCAATCCCACGGCGCCACACGAATATATGTCTCGGAACTTCAGGTTCAAGCTTCATCGGATCGTCGCGAGCTTCACGTAGGTCGGTGGGCTAGACGAAGCGATTTCGCTGGCTAAAGATTTGCCCGGCTGTGGTCTGGATCTGGTCCTACCGAATAATCGCCCAGCAGGTAGGACCGGATAGGTTCCGGCGGGATCGAGCGAGGCCTTTTGAGGCCGTGCTTCGCCCAACCAAGCCCAAAGATTTGACCAAAAAATTCGTAGGCTCGGGCAACCCTCCCATAGAAGACAAGGGCCAGGTTCGGGCGGGCGCTGATGCCGACTTGTGGCGGCATACGGCGCACTTCCCCTGAGCGTCTGCTCATCAGGTCACATTTGGAATCGCAGATCTGGGGATGGCATGGGCTAGTGGGAGTAGGCGTGGAGGACGGAGTATAAAAATGGCCATTCTTACCTAGTTCCGAGGCAGGAGTGCATCCCCCAGGCAGCCTTGACAGCACGCTCCTTGGCAGTTTGTCAACCAAGTCACATCTCTTGACTTCCGTCTTTCCAGATATACCGGTCTTCATATTGTTCTAGAACATTTCTGCTTTTGGGCCCGGAATTCTAGTCCTCTGCCATGCCTCTGTTGCGCAACCTCCTAGCCTCGCTCCTGGTGGGGTCCCTGGCCCTGCCGACCACCCTCGCTCACCCGGGCCGAAGCAAGCATTCCCACCACACAAAAGTCACGGGGAAATTCAGACACACACGGCACGTCGCGAGGGATATCTCCAGCTCGACTACTAGTACAGACTCCACGGACACCGACGGGGGCGCTACAGCGTCTGGCCCCGGCACGACAGACACTACTTTCATCTCTGTAACGGTAACGACCACAGATGTCATCAGTACTACAGAAACAGTCACAACCGATCCGACGGACACCACTTCCGACTCGGCGACGACCTAAGATGAAGCAACCACGACAGACACAGCATGACTAATATGGCAGATACAGCCACAACTGATACAACAAGCACAGACTCGGACTCTGGATCCACGACGACCGATGGGCCAACCTCAACTGCTGCTGATCTGGCCACAACGGACCCTGCATCTCTAACCACCGATACCGGTGTTGATGCCGCTGCTGTCACTTCGACAGACACCTCTGATACTGCTACTTCGACAGACACTGTTGATACCGCAACAGCAACAGACAGCTCTGATACCACTTCGACAGATGCTTCTGATATCACCACTTCAACGGATACTTCTGACACTGTTACATCTACGGCCACATCGACAGATGATGCTTCGGACACGGCCAGCCCCACTTCGACCGACACTTCTAACACAGCTACTTTGGAAGCTGCCTTTGATACTGCCACATCGACAGATGTTTCCGATACCGCCACAACATCCGACCCTGGTGCAGTCCCTACCGATGAAGCATCTACTACTACGTCGGGAGATGTCTCGGCCGAGTCGGCCACCACCACCACCGAGGAGCCTACTACCACTACAGAGGATCCCAGCGCCGCCGCGACGGGCGCCCCAGCCCAGACTGATACCGAAGTCCCACCTGACACCGCTTCGGAGTCCACCTCAGACTTCATCGCGGAACCTACCCCGGATCCCACCGCGGATGCCACCTCCCTGGCCGACCCAGCCGCCACCGACACCGACACGCCACCAACCCAGGCGCCCTCCGGCACTCCAGCCCCGACAAAAGAGCCCCCAGCCCCATCCCAAGACGCCCCCAGCAGCGCTCCGACGGCCGCCGAACCGCAAAAGGTGTGCGGCGACTCGTCGGCGCGGCTCGCGGCCAACCCGGACCCCCCGTCGGGCCTGGAGTCGTGGGCCGCGACGGGCGGGGCTTCGGCCAAGAAGAACGGCGGGAGCAGGACCTGCGGCTTCGTCAGCACGTCGGGCGCGCACTTCCTCCAGCTCGTCTCGACGCCCAGGAACCCCAGCAGCTCGGCCTCGCAGCGCATGCGCGGCCTGGCCGGCGACACGGTCACGCTGGCCTTTGGCTGGGCCTACGTGGTCGTGGCCGCCGTCTCGGCCGACGTCAGCTGCACGCTGAGCATCAGCCTCGGCGCCAGCAGGGCCGGCGCCGCGGTCAAGAGCTGGACGCGCCCGGCCAACGCGGGCGGCAGTGGCCGCACAGTGGTCACGCTGTCGACGGCGAGCGCAAGGAAGACGGCCGAGCTCAAGTTTGCGTTTGAGTGCGACGACCCCAAGTATAACGCAGGCGTCATGATCGACAGTGTCAAGTTGAGGTCGTGCTAAGTGCGGGTGGTTAGAGATTTGGTTTTGGGGGTAGAACCGTTTTTTGCCTTTCTGTATTGTTGTAGTTTTTGTATTTTGATGCTCGTTATGTTCTTTTCGTGGTTGCAAGGATATGAGTGCAATTTTGGAAAAATAAAAGAATGCGGACAAGTCGGGAAATGACGAGCTCGCTTTGGTGTCTATATTGGCTTGGTCCGTAGTGGATGACCCTCTGGGATACCTTTCGATGCTGTTGCAATCCAACTATCGCTGCACTTCTTGTGTCAATAGACTGCCCATCTTGAATTTCAAATGCTTGCAGACGTGCTCTGGTTGTACACTTAGATTTACTGGGCTTCCAATGGAAACGGCACCAGGTTGGGGCTGGAAAACTCCAAGGTGGTAACCCCCTTATGCGCCCTGCTCTGGCAATCCTCTATACCCTTGCTTCCGCATCGCCTCTGTCTAGACTTGCCACCTACATCTTTGACCTCGCTGACTTCAAGCCACATCCTGTCGACACGCCAGCTGTGATAGCCGTCGCTGATGTCGTCACCTCCAGAGCACCACCGCCCAGCTCCAGGAGCTGAAGGCGCGCAACAAAGGCGGGCGCGCGTGCAATAGCAGCGGCGCGATTCCTAAGCGGCCACCTATGCAATCTATAGGATTCTATAGGGCCAGGACAGTACATGACACCAAGAGTGCGCATCCGGCAGCCGAACCAAGCGGGTAAACATGCCGTGTATCTTGGCTCCGGGGTGCTTGGCTTGGCTTGGCCGGCAATGATGCGACAGTACGGGATTCACCCCAGGCCAGCTCAAATGCGATAGTATGTTTGCGCAGGCAGCACACTTCATAAGCTCGGCTGTTCGGTCGCCTTCTTTCTTGTCCCTGCCGTCCTCACATTTCCACACGTTTCTCGCAATGTCTTTTCCACCAAAAAGATTGTCTTGGCGTGCTTGGCGGTGGGCTTTCACCATCCTTCTCACCACGACCGACTCTGCCTCCTGTCTAAAACTATCACCGCGGTATCAATGCCCAGTCGGGCATCGCGGCCGACTCGACTCGCCCGGCTTCACCAAGTGCACGCCACCCCTGGACGACACCACTGCCACAGACGACCCATCGACCTGGGCGCCCTGGACGCACCGGCCCGTGTGCATCAACTCGACCAAGCTCGAAGTGATTCATCATGATGCAGGCGGTGATAACGAGAGGAATGCAGGCGTCCCAGAGGCGGCCCGAGCTGATGATACGCGCAGGTTCTGCGTGTACACAAACGTGCACCTCGGGGATGGCGGTCTGAGCATCATCACCACCCCGGAGCAGGCCGCCGACAGCCTACACCTATTCGAGGACCCGAACCTGCCTGCCGCGCTGTACTCGGCAGCCAACGACGGCGGCGGCGCCCAGCGGTACAAGGTCGTCGACATTCCCGAGAAGGGCGGCAAGGGCGTGGTGGCCACACGCGCCATCAGGCGCTTCGAGCCCATCATACTCGAGTCCGGCGTCGTGCTGGCGGACACGGACTTCCCTCGCGCGGTGGAGAGGACGGCCGGGTACAGGCTGCTGCACGAGGCTGTCGATCGGCTGCCCGAGGCCACAGTGAGGGCGGTCATGGGGCTGGCGAGGGGCAGCGCTTTTGCGCGGGACGAGGTCGAGGATGTGCTGCGGACGAATGCGTTCGCGGGGGAGCTGGGTGGACAGCCGCACATGACGCTGTTTCCGGCTGTTTCGGTCGGTATTTTTTTTACCTCTTTATGGCTGGCTTGCTGTTGGTACTGTGCTAACTGCTAATCAAGAGGATAAACCACGCGTGTAAGCCAAAGTAGGTGAACTGTCGGGTAGGCTCCAGATGTTCAAGGCAATGGCTGACGTTTTGAATCCCAGTGCATTTCCACGGTTCTCGCGCCGAAGCGTCGTGACCGCCATCGTGGCGGCCCGCGATATCAAGCCCGGTGAGGAGATCACCATCACCTGTAAGCAGACTCTACACCTTATTCTAGTAGCCCAAGGACAAGCCAGACTCAACAACAACAAACCACATAAACGCCCTCCCAGACTCCTCCCTCGGCCTGCCCTATGACGAGCGCCAAGAGCGCCTCAAAACCGTATGGGGTTTCGAGTGCACGTGCGACCAGTGCGCTGTCCTGGAGCCCGAGCGCGCCGCGTCGGACCGGCGGCTCGCCGACGTGCAGCGCAAGCGGCGCGAGATCGTCTCGGCCATCGGTACCCGCGACGCGGCCCGCGCCGTGCGCCTCTGCCACGAGGTCCTGGACGCGCTGGCGACCGAGGACCTCCCTGCCCTGTTCGCGGAGGAGTACGAGGTCCTGGCCAGGGTCCACCACCTGGTGGGCAGGGACGCGGACGCGGTCAGGTACGCGCGCATGGCGCTCAAGGTGCTGGGCCTCTATGGGAGCCTGGACCGGGATGACGAGTACGTCGCCGTTGAGGGGTTGCTGAGCGCCTTTTCCAGACCGAGGGTGCCGGCGGGCGGGGAGAGTCCAGGGCGGTAGTGGTCTGTTTGCACAAGGGGCGGATATTTGGGCTGGAAACTGCGACTCTTGTGCCTTCACGGGAGGCTTTGCAGTACCGCAAGAACTCGGTATTCTCGACGAAAGTCCCACCTCTTTTTAGCTGGGTCCCGATGTCTGGGCGTGTGTTAGGCCATACCTTTTCCGGTTATTTGGCCGTGCGATTTATGTTTTCAACACTGGGTTGATTGTACGGAGGTGTGAGGGTTAAATAATCTACAGTGGGGAGGTCACTCGTAAAGCGAGGGCAAGGGCCAGGGGTATGCACTAGCCAATCGATTAAAACGCGTATGGGCGGATTCGAATTGGTGCTGCGATTGGTGTTGAAAAAGAAATGTAGGCTAGGCCTTATTTGGTAGGGGCTGAACATGGGGTGCTCTTGGCGCTACCTCGAAAATGGCGATTTTTTTCGCCTCCTATCTCCGTAGAGTCGAACGGGAGGAAACAGTGCGCACCGAAAATTAGTGCGTTTGAGCTTCACAGGGCTGCACTGTTACAGATCCACCACCTTATTTGTATTTGGAAATGGTCTGCTAATAACCCCACAGAAAAGAGGTGGGACTTTCGTCGAGAATAACGAGTTCTAGTGGTATCTCACACGGATACAGACGGTGCTGCAACCCAGCCCGTCCAAGCTAGGGATCGAGAGGATTGGGGTGCTGTCGATGTTATGTTGCAAATCGATTGCGATTTTGGAGCATTGCAAGCGATGGACCCCCCTATAATCTGGCCGAACTCCAAGGCCGACTTTGCCACTGTGAGCAGGTATAACTGCAGATTGATTGCTGAAGCTGTAAAGGCGCGCCTAATGCAGGGGCCTTCCCTTCAGTCCAAAATCTGCCATTCGTGGAAACCAATTCGACATCCCAAACTCCCAAAACTTGGCAGCCGCTAGTCGAATTCTTGGTCGAACGCATATCGCTCCCCACCGCTCAGCCTTCGTCTAAAGACTCTTTCAGGGGGGTGGCGGCGACCCGACGGCCGTCCCGCTCGCTCAGTGCTGGAGCCGGAATTCAGGGAGTGGCGGGGCCCGCCCCATTGGCTCCGCCGTGCGAATCCCGGTAAGGCTGGGCGGGGTGGCGATATGGGATCTACTTCGCCGTGGGGCAGGTCGCTCCCGAGGCGAGGCAGGGGGCCGGGGTATGCCACGACCAATAGTAACGTATAGAAATTCACAAATGAACATATTTTCGCAGCACTGGACCTGTGGTTGGTTTTGAAAAATATGTAAGCTAGGCCTTAGTTGGTAGGACCAAGGCACGCCCTGCTCTGGTTGATACATGCCCCACGACGAAAACTTTTGCCTGACACCTCCGTAGGGTTTGAAGCTTGCCCGAGAGAAGCTCCTCGCCCCCTAGAACGCGTGCCTTGTGCCTGATCCGCTCTCGGCCACTCTCGGCTGCTGCCCCCGGACGGCAACCGGGTCGATCGCCGCGTAGCGATGCTAAAGATAGTTTCGCGTTGTTTACCTTGATGCCACGCGAGCGTGGTGCCAGCCTCGCCTCAAGCTTGGCGTGATGCACCCCTTGTAGATGCCCTGGGCTTTGTGCCTTGCTTGGCGGGATCTTGAACCGACGACGGCCATGATGATGGGAAAAGGAGTCGAATCGCAACATTGCAAAAGATATATAAGAAGCCATGACGCCTCTCCATTATTCTCGGTTTTTTCTCTTCTTCATCCTCATCAACTCATCAACTTCGACCCAACCTTCTCTCCTTCCGTCTTCTCTTTCAGTCTTCTCCTTGAGTCTCTTCTTTCAGTCCTCTTCAGTACCCAATTCCATCTCTTCCTCTCTTTTTTTACTTCCTTTACCTCAACCGCCACCATGCAGTTCAAGACTCTCATCGTCCTCACCCCCCTCATCCTCAGCGTCGCAGCCGCGCCCGTTGCCGAGCCCAACAGCCAGCTCGACATCCGCGCCACCCCCAAGAAGACGCCCACCAAGCCGGCGGCCGCCCCGGCCACCAAGCCCGCCACCAAGCCCGCCGACAAGCCCGCCGACAAGCCCGCCGACAAGCCCGCCACCACGCCTGCCGACAAACCCGCCACCAAGCCCGCCCCCGCCCCCGCTCCCGCTCCCGCTCCCGCCCCCGCCCCAGCAGCCGGCGGCGGCATCGTGACGGGCGTGGTCACGGCCGTGGCCCAGGACCAGGCCACCCAGCTCGTCACGGCGGGGGCCAGCAAGACGTTCGGCCTCATCAAGGGCCTGTCCAACTGGACGCAGGCGCGCGAGGAGTTCACAAAGGCCACCACCAAGGACATGTGGGCGGCCAACCCGGACGCGGCCAAGTACGCCGCCGCCGTCTGCTGCAACGTCGGCTACAAGGTCGACAAGCCCGACGGCGTCGCCGGCAAGGCGAGCGTCGAGCTCAAGTCGGGGGCGCTCAAGGTCAAGTAGGTTTTTCTCTCTTCTATTCCTTGGTCCCTGATTCGACCTTTTTTTTTTTTTACCAAGACACTAACCGATATTTCTTCCTGCAATCAGCTACGACTGCTTTTACATGACCGCCGGCAGCGTCTTCACCGCCCAGGGCGACGGTGGCTATGTCAACGTTGCCATGGAGCACAGCTCCAAGTGCACCTGGAAGAGCAAGACCCTCACCTGCTAAGCGGGCATCTCATCACAGCGGGATTCGGGGGCTGGTGGCAGAGTCGGCGCCTGCTGTAAAGCACAGCATCCTAGGCGTTTGGGGAAGGTCCGGCTCGGCACTGGAGTCGCTTGAAGGTTCAAGCTTGTTCGACGTGTTTACACTTTTTACTTGTACCCGTCCACAAGGTTTTAGAATTGCAAATACTCGTTCGGGAAACTTCATCGCGGTCGTGTCCTCTCATGTGACTATCCCACGTTCAGCTGGGACTCGCTTGGTAGCAAAGGCTAGAATTGGTGCTTCTGAGGGAAAGCAAAATAGGAAAGGAAACGCGCCCAAATATCAACAGATCAAATACACAAAAACACCACCCACCCCACACATCGCTGATATATAACTTTATTTACCTCTTTCGAGCTATATAGCCCATGGGGAGCACTACGGATCAGGTTAAATATATGAAGGTAAAAACCGTGCCCCCAGCCGACAGCTGTTTAATGTAAGGCTAGGTGAAAACTCCTTCCCTTCGAGGTCTCTGCAACTCCGCGTCTTCTTCGTAAGTAACGCATCGCTGATATGCCCGCGACACTCCGAAAACCAAAACAACACCTGCGCACCTCCACAAATCCAGGACTGCATCCCTCTACCTAACCTTCTTCGCCTCGCCCTCCTCCATCTTGCTCTGGCTCGCAATGGCCTTCTCGCGCCAATACCACGTGGCGGCGTACATGGCGCCCGGTCCGACCAGGACGAAGGACGCGGCGACGGCGACGGCGGCCTTCCAGGCGTCGGCCGTGCGCACGTAGCCGACGCGCCGCATCTCGGCCACGGTGTGCAGGCACCAGACAAGCAGCGTGGCGGCGTAGACGACAAAATCCCACCTAAAGATGACGATCGCCACCTCGGCGGTCGAGGCGGCGTCCGCGCTCCACGTCGCGGCGCCGTCGCTCCAGGGCCAGCAGGGCAGGTTGAGGAAGACGCCGCGGAGGGAGGCGTCGGGCGATGCGAGCACGTAGACGGCCACGGCGACGTGCATGGCCGCGGCGCTGTAGAAGGCGGCCGTGTAAGCGGTCAGGAGATGCGGCAGGTCGATGTTCCGGTACAGCTCGTCGTGGCCGACGGAGCCGACGACGGTGGTGCCGCCGTGCGCCGCCGCGTAGTCCTCGGTGGCCGCCACAGCCGCCGCCGCGGTCTTATCGCCGGCGAGGCGGGCGCTCCGGATTACGGACGCGAGGAACGACGTGAGCGGGCCGACGAGCACGGGCGCGACCTGCCAAAAGGTCATAAAGTCGAGCCAGGCGGCAGGCGCGCCCCACAGCGGCAACAGCATGCAGATGGTCGGGAGGACGAAGGCGAGGCTGACGGCGGGGAGCAGAGCGCGCGCGACGTCCTGGTCCACGACGCGGCTGGACTGGCGGTAGTACATGTCCTTGCGGCCCGCGAACATGGTGGCGAGAAAGTAGATGGGGCCGACCCGGGCGATGGAGAAGATCTGGTATCCGACGGCGTAGATCGAAGGCCTGTAATGGTTCGTTATGCTTTTAGCTGACATTCCATTGAAGAACATGTATCCCGCGGTCGTCTGATCTGCCACATCAGTGGCTTGCGGCGGTCTCTAGCTTACCATATCACAAGGCGTCCCAAGATTGACTGCAGGTTTCCGCGCCGGTGCGCCTCCACCATCCAGATCAGCACCATGGGTGTCAGTATGGCTAGGAAATAAATAACCTGGAGGCGGTTCTCGAGGCTCGGACTGCCCACAACAAGCGAGAATACCCTGGTCAAGAGGTCAAGCAGGTTGTCTATGCCCTGCTGCCCGGTGTAGAAGTCCCTGAACGGATGACCAAGGAACGACTCGGGCACCGTTTTAACCCCCGTGATCCCGTATCCGGCCGCGTAGGTCAGGCCCAGTAGGACAAGGGCAACGACAGCCCTAGGAACCCACGAGTGCTTGATGGGCTTGGCGGGGAGCTCGTCCGTCCAGGGGATGTAGTGGGGGTGAAAGGGCACAGGCAGAGCCTCGATGCGGACGGCGTCGACGGCGAGGTGCAGCTGTAGCTCGGTCATGATCTCCTCGCTAAGAAGCCACGGAGCCACGCGGATGCCGAGGAAGCCGAGCGCGCCGGACGGGGCGTTAAAGTCCTGCTGGTCGTGGGAGAACTGCACAAATGTCTTTGCGCGCTCAAATCGGACGGTCTGTGTGTCCCTGAAGACGGAACCGACGTCCTCGGCGGACAGGCGGGCGCCGGGTGACAACGAGTCGAGGCGGCGCTTCAGCTGGTTGGCCAGCTCCGCCACGCTCTCAATGGCGCCGTTGCCGCCGTGGCCGCTGATGGGATTGGGCTTGTGCGCGGCGTCGCCGAGGGTGATGACGCGGCCGTAGTGCCACTTCTCGAAGACGTGCTCGTGGATGGGCGTCATGCCGAACGAGATGCTGTTGTCGAAGATCTGGCCAAAGGTGCAGTCGTCGATTATGGCATCGTGGCGGTGATCCTCGGCCAGCGCCTTGGCGTCCTCGGTCGAGTAGCGCGGCGTCTTGTCGGCTGTGATGGGCTTGGGGAGCTTCACGAACAGGAAGTAGTACAACTTGCTCTCGGGCCCACTCAGGATGAGGTACGAGTGGCCTCGACTTATTCCCGTGACGACGGACCCCGTCGGGATCCGCTTGTGAGACCTGCAGATTCCAAATAGGCATTTGAACTCGATGGGGACGCCTGGGGTGCGGTCCTACCGTCAGCACCTTGTTTCCTCAAATAGGTGGTTTGCGGTCTGGGGGTGGCACAGCCTACGTTTCCATTCATCTTTGGGGAAATATCCCGGCGAGGCCTTGGAGGCGATGCGCCACATCTCCTCGCGGACGGTGCTCCGGATACCATCGACCCCGACGATGATGTCGCCCTCGAAGACGTCACCTTCCTTTGTCTCCACCGCCGCGCCTGCATCGGTGGTCGTCACCTTTGCGACATGCTTATTGAGCAGTAGCTTGGACTTGTCCTTGACGTTGTCGTGCAGAACTCGGAGCAGCACCTGTCGATCGTTGAACGCCACCCCGTGTCCAGTTCTATCGACCGGGGGCGGTTAGGTCAAAGCCCAGACTAGACGCAATGGGACGGCATAATACCCCACGGCAACACTGACCTCTTGATCATATTTTCGTTGTAGCCTCGGAAGATGAATATTGGCTTGCCTTGGACAGTCGGCGTGGTAGTGTCGAGGCTGGGAACGCCCTCGACGAAGGCTTGTTTACAGCCCAGCTGCTCCAGGATGCGCTGGCCGCCCGGCATCATGGCAATACTGGCGCCGGCCTGAGGGGAAAAGTCGCGGTAGGACTCGAGGAGGACATAGTCAATGTCCAGCTGCTCCAGGATGTTGGCGAGCGTCAGGCCACCGACGCCACCACCGACAATGATGGCTCGGAAGGGTTTTGGCGCCATGGCGAAGTGTTTTGGTGACGGTGGAAGTGTTTTAGTGAGGGCGGAAGTGATTTCTGGTCCTTGGCTGTTGGGACGGGACGCAAAGGTGGGAAGGAGCAGGGTGAGCGTGCATCTACATTATATGCATCCCTTGGGGACCTCCTCCCTACGGCCACCCGAATAGCGGGCCGACCCCGACGGAGCCCATGCGGCGACCGACAGCACGCCGAGTCCTTTTTTTTTATTTTGCCCAGATCCGCAATCCAACCCGCCCCGTCTGTTGACCGATCGTGGTCCCTGTCGGACCCACGCGACCGGGCCCGTCAAGAGCTTGAGAGTCAATTACCAGTGGGCTGCAGCTTTTCGTAACTGTGCTGCAGACAGGGCTCGAGTCACTATCCCTAGACGTCAATATGTCCCGACGTGTGGCCTCACGGGCGGCGCATCTCTAATCAGCTCGATAGCATTGTGGCCAAACACTCTCATCGGGGAGCCGGCCGTCCGTAATTCCCCGACATATGACTGGCAGGGGTAGATCCTCCTTCTTGCTCCTTTTTTTTACTCTCGACTGTCTTTTCAGCGTTATCGCCGGATCTTCGAAGTCCGTTATGGGTTTCATTCCATTGCGGTGTGCTATGCTAAGCAACTCATTCCATTCTTTCCATTTTTCAGCTCCTTTTTCAGCTGCTGGCCTTATCCCCAAAGAAGCGAGCTGCCCTATTCCCAATGTTCCTGGTGGTTGTTGATTTGCCACATCATTCTCGTGGCGATGCCGATTGCCCGTCGGGTCCCCGAGGCTCACCCACCGCTGGCTGAGGTCAGGGGCTTTTAATACCCGGGGCTGTGAGGCGCTATCAGCAATGGCTTCACGTCAACCCGACGGAGCAGGAGCCGGGAAGTATAATGTGTCCGACAAAGATGTTGTTCGTTATGGGTGCCCCAGCCGAAAAGTGTGTCTCGGCACGCACGCGCACAGGATGCCGCTTGAGCGGGCTTCCGAATCCCCCATGGCGCCAACGCTAGCCGCAAGCAGGAAGGAGGAATCGCCGAGCCAGCTCGGGGCAGTGCAATCTTCCGGAAGTTCGTCCGCCACGTTCGTCCGCGAAGAAAAACAAAATACCCCTCCCGTCCTCGAAATCCGTCCGCGTTGGCGCGCAATGTTTCCGCGGTCGAGACCCGCCCTGGCCCCGTCATTGCCCCATGATACCGCAGCTTCGGGTCGGCGGTGTTGCGCTGGTCAGTGCATTTCACACTGGAGCTTGACTTGATTGGCTTGATCGGAAAGCACTGAGGAATCTGTCGTGGGCTAATTTGCCCTCGGACAGGCTGCAACGACCCACCAACTGCTCGCTCGGCTCCTCATCTGCCGGGGATTGTTTCTGGGCTCTTGCCTCATTGGTCTGAAATGGAGACCGAATTCCTGTCGTGGAAACTTTCTGCACCACAAAGCCCAATCGTCGTTCGACATGCCAACATCCCGGTTTCAACACAACCCTGCGCTTGCTAGAAGCCATGGCGTGCAGGGTGTCATTTAATTGACGCAACGCCTGCGCGAGCGAGTAACGAGGTCACCGGATTGGAGATGGCCAAGTGTGTGACCCCAGTTGGGCGCGTCGATTCCGCAAGGGATACAGTCCGGCAAGGGATAATTACACGCAGTTCGTCAACTCGCTGAAGATCGCGACCGTTTCGTGGCAGCACCCCCGTCGTCACCCGCCTTGCGCTTCGGCCCCGCAGCCAGAACGTTCATCACCTCCCTCAGAGCCTCGTCCACGCCCTCGACGAGCTCGACCAGCCGCACGGTGACAGGCCGCGTCGCCTCGGGCTTCCGCTTCCAGACCACCCTGGCCGCCTCGTTCTGGGCGTCCTGCGCTTCCTTCGACCGCGCCTGCGCCGCCTCCAGCCGGCTCACCACCCTGCGCGCCGACCGCGCGGCGTCGGCGTCCCCGCCGCAGGCCGCCTTGGCGGCGCCCACCGCCTCCTTCAGCGCCGCCTGCGTGCTCTCCATGGGGTCCTCCAGGTTCCCGACGGCGTGCTCCAGCTTGGCCCAATCTTTCCTCGCCCCGGCGGACGCCATTTTTCCGGTGCCAGTCATGGCTTCTTTCGAGTGCTTCTGTGCCCTTTCCACCGCCTTTTGCACCTCTCCCAAAGCGCCGCACGTGGTTGGCGGTCGTGTGCAGCCGTCGTAACTCTTCTCGCTCGCTCCCCTCTGTGGCCTTGACCCGGCCGCCCGAGGCCGCGCCGTAGCGTCGACTCCCGAGTCTTCGCGGTCCTCTGCGTTGTTTGGTGTCGGAGTCGAAACCTCTGCGGTAAGACAGGAGCTGTCGGGATCGGTCGCCGGCGGGGTGGGCTGCGAAGGCTCCTCGATACTGGGACCGCCGCCGTCGCTCGCCGAGTCGTTTGCGACTGGAGACGCACTCCCTGGGCCACGGCCCCTGCCAGCGCCACTCGCCCCCGTGGCCAAAGTCCGCGACGAACGCTGGGCTTCGACGGACGTACTGGCATCGCGTGGCTGTCCGCGAAAGGATACCGAAACCCGCGTCTCAGGTTCGGGACGCCAGTCTCCGTCGTCGTCGCCGTTCGCCTCGGGTCCCCATGATTGGGGCCAGTCCTCGATAGCGCAGGGCTTGGTGGCGGCGCGTTTCGGCCGGTGCGAAGTCTCTGAAGGCTGCGGCGAGGGTTCGATGCCCGGGCTCGGAGCTGAAGGTGTTGTGGCCCCCTGGGGAGGGCGCGGTGGCTCTCCCAGCTTGCCCTCGGGTATGTGGTTGAGGAACCTCACCCAATCAGGGGAGCTTTGCAGAATCCCGTAGTTTCGATCGGCCGGTCTCACGCGACCCAACCCATTGATGGGGTCATTTTCGAGCCAGCGGGTCTTGCCCAAAGATTGCTTATGAACTCGGGATTTCTTTCGGCCGCTCGGGTTTGCTGATTCGAGGGCCCGACAGAGGATTGTGAGTAAAGTCAACTCCCAAAGTGTCTGACGGTCAGTTTTGGCTCCTTTAGGGAAGCGTGGGACGGGGCAATGCCGGCCGTTGTTCCGCTTCACTCCCTCTTCGTATAATGGCTCCTGGCTTTCGCCAGTCTTGGCTTGCTGGATCCAATTGCGCATCCCCCGGGGTGCCCGGGGATTGAGGGCGCTGTACGCCCTCGCCCAGGCCGGGTGCCGACAGGCATAGGAGCGCTTGAACGAGGCTGTTCCCAGTTGGCGTACCAGAAACTGGGCTGCCGGCACGGTGACGAAAGCCGGCGGCGTTCCTCTTGCCATGAGCGTGATGACGCGGTCTTTGTAATCACCAGTAAATGCGCTCAAAGCAACATCAGCCTCGCGTCCCCTCCACACGTTCCTAATCTTCCCCTCCATGTCCATGGCGGCTTTTTCCTCATCCTCCTTGGACAAGTTATCGAAAGGAGGACGCCCCACGCCATCCCAGCCGTTTCTGCCCGAGGGCTCGCTGTTGGGCCCGGGGATCTCGCCCTCGCCCTCGCCCTCGCCGTCGCCGTCGCAGGCGAGAACGCTCTCCTCACGCTCGTCCTCAGGTTGACCCTCATCGGTCGACGAAGTCGCATACGAGTCGTCGTCGTCGTCGTCATCATCATAGATGAACGGGACACTCGCACGCGGACGAGCGGCGGCGCCTCCGATCTTGCGGTCACCCTGGCCGTGGAGGTTGCCGCGTATCGCAAAGGGCGCGCCGTCTCTGTGGTACGTGTTTTCCGGAATCGTGGAGCAGGAGCTCGACGACGACGAAGGCGCCGCGGCGTCGGGCTCGCGCGTGGCCCGAGCGGACTCGACGCCCGCGCGGCGGGGCAGCCGCTCGGGCGTCGTCGAGCGCAATCGCTTCCCCTTCTCAGGCGTCGCCGGGGACCCGGGTGGAGGGGCCATATTGAATAGAGCCATCTTCCTAGCATGAACCATCTTGGCGGGACTCCAAGTGGCGGTGGGAGCCAACCTGGTGTCTGTGTACCGGTGGTCGTTTGGACACTTCCCAGGACTCTGGCTTTCGGGTCTGATGACGGGGACGGTTTGGTTCTCGCCCCGCGGCTCCCTTCCTTGCTCCTGCGGGATGATGGATGAGGGTCTGGGCGTCTTTGCTTTCGAACGGTTTTTGGTAGGCTGGATGAAGCGCCGGTTTGTCTCCATCGTTGTTTGCTTCCCCTGTTCATGAGTGCGATCGGTGTCGGTATCCATCTCGAGCATCGAGTGGACTGCTAGTACGATATTGGTTTCGGTTTAATTCTTTAGTTCGAAAGCTGGGGATGACGAAAGCACGGAGGGTAGAGCAATATGCGGGGGTGGTACAAAAAAATAATGGAAAGCGTCCTCCTGTGCGGGAACACAGCCTCCTACTCCCTGTAGTCCGGCTGCTCGCTATTGGGCATGAGGAAAGCGACATGTTCAGCTCATGCGACCAATAGCTGCACGGGGCTTGCGACGGCGCCAATCTGCCGATCTGCCACCAGCCGAAACGACAAGCTGCTAGGATTGCGGAGTGCAAGGCAGATTTCATGGAGAAATTGAGGGGGATTTCGCTTCGTGCTTCCGAACCCTTTTCCAAGATATGCTACTGTTAATGCACGACGCGCATTGGCGATTGGGGTTTATTATGCCTATATTATGCATAGCTCGTTCCCGCTACTACCAACGTGCTTGTTATGCTGCTACATTTCTACTAAAGCACTGGCGGTGGCATGATAACCCTAAGGTACAGGTCAGCCCCTAGCTTGTTCTTTATTCTTGCTATTTATGCCATACTTGACTGTTATTTTACTTTTGTTTAAGCGCCTACCTTCATTTCGTGATCCGAAAACCCTGTACCCACGCTGCCCAACATGTTTCAAGTTGTTAGGGCACATACGAAAGGCTTATGCAGCTAAGAGCACTAGCGCGGGAAGCTGAAAGATAAATCGTTCGAGCCAAGCTGCAGCATAACCACGTGTCACCCATTAAATGGTAGCGGGCCTTTTCGTTTCCATTGTTAGTTGCTGGCAGCTACATTAAGCAGAAAAGGTGGATGAGCAACTTGCTTCAACAGCCACTCCAGCTCTGTTCGAAATCCTAGCCCGCGAGGTTGATCGGTAGAAAGGTCTTCCTGCCGGATGCGCAGGTGGGCCTAGGGGAAACGATCGAGGTGGGTGGGACATGTGTGACAAGCGACAAACGAGTGCGGGGTGATGTGTCCAGCGTTGCCTGGCTGTCCGTTTTCTGCGCAATGGGCGGCAAAGCCACAACGACTGTCTGTGCTCGCTTGCAGTCGGCGACGTGGCCTGCACCAAGGGGAGTCCTGCAGCGGTCGAAGCCAACATTGGGGCAATCCACGATGGATCGGCGTTTTCGTTACAGGACGACAAAACATGGACTTGATTAGCCTTGGATGCTTAGAATGGAAGACTTAGTGTTCGCATGGTTTGACATGAACTTTGGGGAAATTGCAAGTAACATCGAAGCGGGGGCTTCGAAAGATGCAAAACCCACGTGCCGCCGCTAGAGTGTGAGGCTTGAATAATCTACAGTGGGGAGGTCACTCGTGAAGCGAGGGCAGGGGACAGGGTATGCACTGACCAATCGATTGAAACGCATGCGGGCTGATTCGAATTGGTGCACGACCAGGCCTGTGATTGATTTTGAAAAAAGGTTTGTAGGCTAGGCCTTATTTGGTAGGGCTGAACATGGGGTGCTACCTCGAGGGTGGCGATTTTTTTCGCCTCCTATCTCCGTACGCGCGTCGAAATTGCACCCCCAACTCGTTCGTGGTTTTCTTTTCCCTCGTTATGGAGCAAGGAGCAAGCTTATTATTGTGCCTGAGCCGTCGACATGGACGCCAGCCACGCTGCTCGTTTCCGCCCTGTGTGATTCGACCGACGATGCTCTCTCGCCTGCTCTGTCCGCGCGCCTGTCCCTCTTGATGCCATCGCCCTGGAAGTTGACACGTGCGTTTCTCCCACTTCCTAGCCCCACCTCTCTCGCTTCGGCCCGGCCCGAATCACTAGTGGCGCAAGCTTCATCCCGGTCTTGGTGCTCTGGTTCAGAATGGGGCCCCTCGGCAGCTTCCGATGTTTTGAGGATCAACGGTAACTCTGCCGACCCTGGCCCAGGGGGCGGAGGAGACAGAATCGGCTCGTCAGAATACCCGCTGCCTCTGTCGCTTTGCGTCCCTTGCTTCTGCCGGCATGTCCTCCCGGACGAGCGTCCCCTCCGTGGTGCATAAAAACCCGCCTCTGCGCCGCCCTCGTCTGAAACAGACGCCTGTCTGTATTCGATGAACCCCGCCAGTCTTCGCGGGCCAGCGCGCGTCTCCGAGGCAGCCCGGGAAACGGCCGGCGCCCTCCCGTTCGCCGCCGCCCCTGCTATGGCTGCTGGAGTCGCTCTCGCCGTCGTGGTCGTGCCCACTGACCGTCCTCGTCCTGGCCGTATCTGTAATCGATCGGGCTGGACATGGCAGCACCCCCGTGGCGGTTTACTGCCCAGGATACTGCTCATCCTTCTCGTAATCTCCTCGTGTCGCTGCGGCTGCAGCAAGTAGCTGTTCACGGCATTGCCACTACTGCTCCTACGGCCATATAGCCATAGCGTCGCCCTACGCCGGCGAGCGGCTCTTGGTGCGCGGTCACCCCTTGATGGTGACGTATGTGTCATTTTCCCACGCGGGCGAGCGGCTCCGGCTTCGTGATGGCATCGTCTCCGGGCTTTGCACAAACATTCCGAGTGGCAGGGCCAGCGGCGAAAAAGAGTCACTATTTTTTTTTGCCAACATTTCGCCTATGGCGGAGCGCGTTACCAGTCTGGCGCCTGCCATTCATTTATAGCCCATCTCTCATTTCTTGTTGATGTGACTGGTTCCCTGAAGGATCGCGGCTGGAGCCAAGCCAGACCAGCCCTTGGAGAAGACGGTGTGGAGAGCTGCGCCGCCCGGCTTTAGTGTTAAAGGCCGGGTGGTTCGTAAGCCGTGATGCGGGAGGCCTCTCACCTCGCGGGACTGTGGCTAGAGCCTAGCCTCGACCAGAAGTTGGGGATTCGCCCCTACCGCCCACCTTGTAACGTGTCCCCGACTGGTGGGGGAAATGTGATGTATCGTTGTCCATCGTCACCCTAACTTGTTCTCCTTCGCTCTTCTATCCTTAGTTGCCTACAGTTTGCTCTTTGGCTATTTGGCCCAAACAGCACGGCAAAAACACCTAGTTATGCCCACTCTTGCTTCTAATATCACATCCGAGTCCGGGGCTGTGCTTTAGAATCACCTCAATGGACGGTCAGATCACCGAAACTACGGGCCCTCTCCCTGCACCCAGGGCGGCATGGTGCCAGGGGCCGGCGATCCGAGTGCGGCGCTATGTCCAGAACGGCTTCGAGCGGTTCGACGAGCGTGGGCTACGAAACCCTCGGCAAAGTTAACATCGACTGCAAGTGCCACTGAACGCGGTACCAGTGGGGAGTTCTCAACCGGGGCCGACGAAGGGTTCCCGCTGGAGCACGCCACCGTCTACATCACTCTGGGCGGAGACGACGTGTCATCCTACGCGCTCGCCAAGAACAGAGACAGACGGTCGCGCAAGGGGCGCCACGACTCACGGGGCTCCGAGCACGCTGTCCAGATGACAGGCCGCGGCCCCACCATCATATCGGGCGTGGAAGACGGTACCGCTCCGAGGCCAAGGCCACCTCCTTCACCCCCCACCGCCGGCGCCGCGGGATTCGAGCTCGGGCGGCGTCGGTCACCAGTCCACCTCGCTTCCAGGATAGCAGCGGGCCCTGGACCTTCCGCGGCGCCATATGCCGGCCCGAGGGCAGGTCGGGCCTGCGGAAGCTGCGCTGGGACCTGTCCGAGAAGGCGCTCGAGCCGGACCAGCCGCACCAGCACGAGTACAAGACGGCCTTCGCCTTCGAGCACAGCCGGCGGCCCCGTCTACATGCGCAGTCGAGATCGAGGGCCGCCTGAGGAGTAGGAGTCACGGCGCCGCCCATAGTCTCGCCCGTTTCTCGTCCCGCATGGCCGGCCACAAGGACCACTCGACCCTGACACGTATGGACTTTGGCGGCCGCGCCGCGCCGCGCCGCGCCGACGAGGCGGCTCAGCGACACTGTCGACGGTCTGGACCCGGCGATGCAGATGGTGAACGACAACCCCGTCCTCGAGGTCAGGAGCCCGACGCAACGCGGGCGCGCTTCTTCTAGGAGCACTAGGGCCTCGCGTCGCCACCATAACACCATCTCCTCTATGGCCAGAACGGAGGGGTGGACAGCCACGCCTAGTGTGGCCCCCTTCGCACCTTGGGCTTCTCAGAGCTCGGCCAGCGGTACCGCGCCGAGTCGGCCGTCGACGACGATGCTGATGTAGGGAGCACGACGGTCGTGAACAGCGACTTCCTCACCGCCGCCGCCGCCACACTCAAGGCTCCAACCCCGTCATCGTTCTCCTTCGAGGCCCAGCGCTACGAGCTGCTGCAGCACTCGGGTGTTGTGGCCCTGGCTGACCTAGCCGTGCACGTGCCCTACAGCCTAGAATTTAAGTGTGGCCACAAGCATTGCATTTTACAAATTCCCTTTTTCCCATTCCATCTTTGATTTCAAGGTTCCCCTGGTAAATTACGTGATTCCGTTGTGCCGGTCCGTAATATTGTTTTTGAGAAGGAGGACAAACGTTGGAGAAGTGGCCGCAAGGCTCTGGAGCATGGTGAATCACGACGTCAGGCCAAGACTCGCATCCAGTTACTCGATGCCACCAAAGAGACGCCATACGGCCGCTCAGGGGCCACACTTCGGCTAGCACAAAAACGTCTGGACTGGACGTCTCACATTTAAAATACACGACAAACAAGCACACCATAACCACGGCGGCCCAGCCAACAACAGGCTCCTCGCCAAGCCGGCCGATATTCTTGGCAAGGATAACGGCGATAATAATGTGGCAAGCGCCCATGCCAATGGCTCCAACTCCCAGGACGGGCCTCCTGCATAACGCCCACCACACCCGTGGCCAAAAAACTGATTTCTGTCTCGCACAGCCCGAGCTGGCTGAAAATCTGGGAAGCATAGCAGCCATGTCAGCGTCTATCTCGCTGCCTCCTGTGGCCACCGACGAAACTCACTGTGTTGATGCCAGCCCACTGCTGGAAGAACATGGTCAGTCGCCACGACCACGCTCTGGAACATGGCTGGCTATATCCTTCTGGTCCTGCCATATCCAAGTTGGTCTGTGTGATTTGCTCGAAACCAAACAGATTACTCTCGAGGTGGCTTATTTAAGCCCCATGGTGCACTTGATTTGAGAAGGGATCTTGTTTTACAGCTCTTCCGTCCTGGCCGCCTTTCCCCGGCCCCCGCAACTGCCTTGGCCGTAACACTCACGACTGCGCTTCCTTGTCGGTATATGTGCGTCTTCAGCACTTTCCACAAACGCAGGAGCGTGCGAGGCGATAGACACGGTCGACGCCAAGGAACCGACTAGGCTGGGAGGCTCTCCAGCGTTCCTCGACACCTGATGCGAATGTGTCGGGGGGCTCCGGAAGCGGCGGCGACCGCGAAGCCACTGATCGGCAGCCTCTTCCTCATAGTTCCCTTCAGAATCCCAACCGTCTTCTTCATCCCAATCCGGGTCTAACTCGTCACACAAGTCCCTGTCTTGAGATTCCCTGTCTCGGGATGACAGTGCCCTTTTTCTGAGACTATCGCTCCGGCTTCTGGTACCCGCCGGCTCAAATACCCGGGCTATGCGGGCTACCGCATTCGCACGCAACGTGTTATCTTTGACACAGTCAGTTGCTTTGTCCCAGGTTCGCACCACAACCTCTCCATCATATTTGAAAAAAGGGACAATTTCTTCATGGAACAATGCCCAAGCGAACCGGGCGAAAAGCATCTCCGGAGAAAGGCCACGGAGAGGCTGGGTTAGGCAGTTGTGGTACGTATGAACGAGCTGGATGGAGCGCTTCGGCTGAAGGACGTGGACTGCAATCGCTAGCGACGGCGGTTGGGAAGAGGCGGATGGTAGTGGTGGCGACCTCTTGGGGACGAATACATAGCGACTGCGGTCGAATAGAAAATGCAAATCCCTGCGCAGAAGGATAAGGTTTCTCTCGTCGTCAATCGGGAGATGTGCCATGGGTTCCAGGACATATCTAAAACGCGAATTAGCGGCGGATGTCAACACTGTCAAAAACAAAGGCGAAGGGGCAAGCGAGGAAGATGGTAAAGGATAATTCTTTAGGAGACAAACGTACTGGATCATTTGGTTCGAAGTGAACCAATTCCTTTCGCTGTAAGGTATCACATGCGCCGTTTCGCAGGCGTCTATGAAACCGGTGATACGGCAGCTGCCATCACGCGCGACCGCGGCCTGTTTTCCTGCCAACGGAATGGAATTCGTCGGGTGGATATTATCGGGCAACGCGACGCTGCGCCATGGCTCGGGGAGATCGGAGTGTGGAAACCGCCAATGGTGAAAGGATGCGTGAACTGGGTACTTGTCTGTGCGAACGTCTACAACGCCAAAAGGATTAGCGACCCCCTTCAGGAAAGAGTTGGCTAATACATACCCGGATCAATGGCCCCGTCTGAAAGACGACACCAGAAGTACACGCTTTCGCGCAAGATGCCATCGGCCGGGCGCTCGACGGCGGAGAGGGCACCCGAACTCGCATCGGACTGGACCGCGAAAACCCCCTTGTCCCAGCCTACGGTTGTAACGATGGAGCATGCGGCCCTCGCGACGTCGAAGTCGAGCCCGTTCCAGTCGTCGCCATCGGTCGCACTTAGCAGGAGCAGGTCGGGCGCCGAGTTCAGATACGCCGGGTGCCGGATACGAATGCTTCTGTAGATGCCATTGTTATGGTTTGCTGGCAACGCCGGCGGCGACAGCGCCTTGCGCGCAAACGGGCCGGACATCACCGTCGCTGCAAGATTGGGTTACGACGGCTTTACGAATGTGTCGGCGCGCAGTGTTCTGATGCGGAAAATAAACCCAGATTTGGTTGCTGGGGCAAAGGATGCGGGGCGCTATGCTGGGAGCTAGCGCGTAGGCGTGTAAGCAAAGCGGGGGGAGGGCACGGTTGGGTATAGCCAAATTTTGGCACTACACTTTCGCTTAGGGTGTATGCATTTAAATTTTGCGTAATGCAACGAGCAGTAATTTGCATGCAGCCCCCGTATAAAGCAACAATTTATATAAAATGCTTTTATTTTATTTATTTTATTTATTTTATTTATTTTATTTATTTTATTTATTTTATTTATTTTATTTATTTTATTTATTTTATTTATTTTATTTATTTTATTTATTT